AATGTCGGCAAAGTTGAGCCAACTCTTAGCTTTTATAAAATAGACATCCGGCATAGCCGTATAAATAAGAACATTACTGAAAAAGATAATCTTTCTACCACTGAGTACATTTTTCATGCTTCGACTGTGGTACAGTTTGCACCTCTGTGTAAAACTGTAGTACAGTTTTGTAATTTTTTGTCTTAATTACTGTGTACTTCTTTTAAACACATTAAAACATTGGTTGCTTTAATTCTTCTTTAACCACAAATTAACTGAAGGTTTTGTTGTTGTTGTTTTTTTCACTTGTCACATCTTTATAAAAAATTTAGGATTTCTAAAAAAAAAAAAAAAAAAAAAAAAAAAAAAAAATCATCTCTATCAAGAAAATTCTGATTGCGTTTATTGTAAAAATGATTTATGAAAATTTTTTGTTAAAAGAAATTGTCTTTTAATAAACAGACGGGATGAAAATTATCGCGTTTATGTTTTTATACACCCCAAAAACCTGCGTAGATGCAGTACGACATAGACGTTCATGGTTACATACTTTTCAACAACCTGCGTAGAAACATTAAGACATAGACGTGTAGCTCTCACGTCGTGACCCTCACTACAATAAAAACATTCACCTGACGTCACAAGTTTACCTGCCTGCACTGGGAAAACGGAGTAAATTATTCCATGGACTTTTTGTTCGGCTGGGGAATTATGAAGTTTTCAATACGGAAACTCCAGTATGTCATTTAAATATTTTATCATTTTATTAACATCGAAGTATTTACTCTCTGGATATTATATCACGTAGAAGAATTGGTAATGGATGATTATAGGAAAATATAAATAACATGACAATGCCAAATAATAAATACAAATAAAACATTAACAAACAAGAAAGAAAGGAAGAAAAAATAATACAACAATGCAGAACAAATCTCAAAGTTGCTATACACGTTACGCTAAAAAGCTGAGCTGAACAACAGCGTAAAAAATAGTTATACATAGTAATTGAAAATCCTCGTAAAATGTTAATATGTTGGCTTTTTGTGTTAAAATCTTGCTTGTAATGAGAGGTTTGATTTGAACCAACATGAGGTTTTTTTTTCGGCAGTATGCTAAAACTAAACGGTTTATTTCATTTGTTTTCATTTATATTATATTTCGTATTATGGATTGTGAATCCGGTAAGAAAACAAAATGTGTGAATTTACAGTTCAATTAAAATAAACTAAATTAAATTAAAATAAGGAAATGTGTATGTTGAGTTTTGAAATATTTGCTCTATGAACCTCGAAGTCCCATAACCGTATTAAATCACATAATAAAACCACACAAGTAAAAAACATATAGCTTATTATTTATTACATATTTGTAATAATGATTCAACAATTTTGAATATGTTATATTTATATTTTGAAAAATTAATCTTTAAATTAATGGTTCTCAAAGTTTTTGGAGGTAACAAACCCCAGTAGTTTCATACACACATTCACTGGAGCCTTGTTATTAGTTCTATAGTCTACACATAATCCGATCGTGAATCATGAGTCATGGTTAAGTTCTTTACCTCCGCCAATTCCCTGACTCAGACTCACCGAAACCCTAGGGTTCGATTTAACCCAGGTTAAGAACCTTTGCTTTAAATGTATTGAAAACTCAAGATACTTTATAATTCTAAAGCAAACTAATAATTTATTATTGTTTTTAATAAAAGGTATGTATCAAATTAAATAGTCGCCTCTACGGCTAGATGCACGTGAACTTGGATGAGTCCGGCTCAACACCTTGTAGATCTTTTATAACAGCCTGACATACGATGACTCCAATAATGAATGTCCCAACAACTAGAAACACCATGGCTATCGCTCTTAGGACGTGGACACGTTGATCCTGCTTCTCACCAGACTAGTCTTTTATGCATCGCATTTAGCAAGCACAACCCTGATTAAAGACACATTTTTTAACGTTTACGTGGACTCCACATGAAAATAAACTTATTATATATATATATATATATATATATATATATATATATATATATATATATATATATATATATATATATATATATATATATATATATATATATATATATATATAATTATTATATTAACAACAGAAATGCACTAAAAAGAAAAAAATAATACAATTTTCATTAAATATAAAATAATTATAAAAATATAATAAATCTGCGGTTACTTCAAATATTAAAAAAAATTACTTTCTTTAAATATATTAAATAAATGAAAGCGTGTACCGCGTGTTTAAATACTAATTTTTATAGCGGCCCACGCTATATATAATTTTTTTACATTTATATTTAATAAAAATTGTATTATTTTCTTCTTTTTAGTGCATTTATAAAAGCTTGCAATTATAAACTTTTTTTATGTATTTATTATTTTTATACTTTATAGTATTAACGAGTTATACGCATGTTAAGACAATATAGTGTAGCAACAAATATTATGATACACAATTTGAAATGTGTAACCGGTGTAACGGGCTCAAATTCCCATGAGGCGGGTGTAGGCCTGACTTTCCCCAATCTTACTAGCTCTCTATGAAAAGTCTTTGCCTGTTAAAGATAACGGAAAACAGAATCGATTCGTGCGAGAATCAACCCAAGACAGTGAACTTGTTAAAGGGGATGGCTATCGTCCTTCTGATTGCTGGTATGTTTATCTTTGGCCTTACGTTGTCGCAGGCTGTTATACAAGACATTCATGGTGTCGAGTCAGGCCATTCGGAGTTTACCTGTGCCTAGTCACAACACAAGTGTTTACTTTTTTTAATGAGGTGATGTTGCTATAGATAATGTACAGAAAATGCTCTCCATATAAATCCAAAACAAAAATTAATGTTTATTTATTTCTGTTAATTAATTTTTAAAAAAACATTGCTTCTACTTCATATTAATGTTTTACTACAATGGCATCAAAAATAAAATGATGAACAGTTTATTATTTAGCATTTAAATTAGTTATTTTATTGTTTTATCATATTTTAGTAATACGTTATTTTAAAACCAGGAAATATCCACAGTAATCTACATTTTATCACCTTTGCTTGACTAATAACATTTTCAAACCGTGTTTTCGATTGTGCCGATATTGACAAGTCAAAGCATGAAGAATTTACATTATCGAGAATTATATCCATTTTGAATTAAAATAAATTGAATTAATTATTGTAATGTCTTAATTAATCCTTTAATTCGGGTCGTCCATGCTGCATTTATGCTGTATATATATTTTTGTATGCAAAAGTTAAAAGCTTGAACATATTTTGTTTAACTACTTGTTTGCTTTTCACATATTTTAGTAAGCATGGCATATGAACGTGGTAATTTATTTTAATTGTATTGATACTCTAGGTAATTTTTGAAGTTTGGGTTATTAATTTATGTGCGGGGAATGTAGGTGAGATAAATCGTTTAGTTGGGATTTAATGGTAGTGTTGTAAAACAAATTCAAGTTTAGAGCAAATTTAAATGTAGTCTAATTAGTTTATGCAAAATTTTGGTTTTGGTAAAAGTTTGGTTAGTTTTCGAATAAGATAGATCAGTGTTAGAATTCGATAAACATTAGGATTTCGTATTTCTTTGCCATTAATTAAATTACATTAGAAATTTGTTTTTAAATTATGTAGTCTTAACTTGATATGATATAAAGGAATTCCCGTTGTGTTACATGGAAACCGAGTGCAGATAGATCGTACATCTGCTGCAGTGTAATTTACAATTATCATGCCTAAACCATTGTCAGGATTGCGAGTTACGCAATTTTTAGTCAATACATGGGAGTAAGATAAATAGACATGCATACACCAATGATTTTATCCGTCTCGCAGGCAGTGTAGGGTTTAAAACATGAATGAACAAAATGGCTCTTCAATGGCCGAGCATTGTGGAAAATTCTTAACTAGCGTTTTTTCTTAAAACATGAGCTCTGATTAACTTCAGACGCTGTTTCATTGGCTTAGATTTATTTTTAAAAATCAGAGGAGTAAAAAAAACTTAAAACAGATTTCTGTTATTACGTTTGGTTTTGATATACATTTCAATGTTATTCTTCGTAAAATTATTTTCGAGAAAAATATTTATTTAAATAAAGAAAACAAAAAGAAGTATAAAATTGGATAACCAGTTAAACGTCTAGACTTTAAGTTCGTATCACATTTTATACAATAAGTTAATCCTAAGCCTAACCGTATTCATCCATCTAACCGTAATTATTTTACATAGCACAGCTTTAAGACTCAATTAGCGATTGCTGTTGCTACTGCTATTCAATAAGAAATTCCACGTATTATTTTAATTCTTATCAAACACAATAATAAAACCATATAAGTCACGTACAAATCTTTACGCATGGCTTATTTTTCAAGAATTGATTCAACTTGGCTCTTCATAATATCTCAAAGAAAGTCTTTCTGATTCGATGGAATCTCGTAATCGATTATTCATTCGTTTGTACTCAAATGTGGTAGTTAGTAAAAAAAGTAGCTTAACATCAAATAATCAATTATTTTTTTTAATCTTTGTTCTTAGCGTGTTTCAGCCTAATGGTCTGTCGCCTTTTAGATTTATAACATAAAAATACCGCAACACATTATAATCTATATATAATTATTTTCTGTGAGACGTTAGAAAACAAGCTGCAAGCGCGCCTTGCAGTCCCCTTTCTTCCTCTCTATCGCTAACACCCCCCAACCCCCCCCCCCTCACATGGTCTGGTGAGCTGTGGTTCAAGCTAAATGTTTACAACAGTAGAGCCGGGTTTGGTGACGGCTATTAGGGGCAGATAATTTAGTCTGAAACGATTTTAAACTTAGAGGAGATAACTTAGAGGAGGCTGCTTTCACGGGGGGGGGGGGAGTTTTTAAAGCAAATATTTTCAGTGGAAGATTGGTACTGTCAAATTCACAAATTATGAATTACTGAAAAGTAGAAAAAAAAACAACTAAATAGCGGCGTATGATACACCGCGGGTCGGCTCGTACATTAAAAAATTTGAAGTCTAGCTACAAGAGAACTTTGACGAATCCTGTTCAGTGCCGTGGATGTTTACCATAATAGCCTGACATGTGACAAGTCCAATGGTAAACACACCAACCGCAACACAAACCACGGCAAACGCTCTCAAGACGTGCACTCTTATAGGCTGCGTCTCAAAAGATTCTAGTCTCTTCTGCATTGCGTTCAACAAGCAAAAACCTGGCAAAAATTCATACAAAGTCAATGTTGATGATAGTGATCTATGAACTATAGAGCATGACAAAGAAATATGGCACAATTTAATGATTACACTCTAGAAACTTTACTGGTGAGTTTGAAGCTGTGATGTTTAAAAATCTAACATGTGAGTGACTCTCGAAATACACACACACACACACACACAAACACACACACACACACACACAAACACACACACACACACACACATATATATATATATATATATATATATATATATATATATATATATATATATATATATATATATATATATATATATATATATATATATATATATATATATATATATATATATATATATATATATATAGCTATAAATATAAAATTAACATGGATTTTTCGAATCAAATCTTGCGATCGAAATTTCGGGCACTTCCCAGTTAGCTAGTGGGAAGCTTTGTTTCCGATGACAATATAATATTCAATTATTATTATTACTAAATTGATCAATGGAAAAATTTTATTGATAATTTTAGACCACTATTGTTTTGTACAAAAAAGGGACATAACCTAGTAATTGTAATTTGATAAAACAAGGTTCGGTACTTTCCCTCTTCTGGCGAGCACGCGATTGGCTGATTAGTAGTCACGCGGTGTTTGTGTACAAACCTATGCAAATCTGACTGATCAGGAAGTAGAATGTTGATGGTCGAATGATTTGCACGCGAGGGCAAAATGGTGAAAGAAACGGCAACACAGAAAAAACGTCGATTGGAAAAGGCACGTGTTTTTTACGAGTTGTCTTCGTTTACCCCAAAAAAAGTAAATGCGAGAAGATAAAATCGATAGCAAGATTTGAATGCAAACAAACAGACAAAGACTAAAAAGTAGAAAATAATTATCATTAAAAAAGTTTTTAAAAACCCACGTTTTCTGATTGAACTAAAATGTAGGAAATAAATGCTATACATCACAATAATGCAAGCGATCACTCTACTATAAGCGATCGCAAACTGTGTGCGCATTATGACAAAAAATGAAAAACGTGGGGCGGCGTGATTTTCTTACAGTTTTTAATACTGTTGACTCTCTACAAGCTCCCTAATAAAACTCAATAGTATTATCTAATCAATAGTAATATAACTTTTACATCTTATTTTAACAATGACCGATAAAAAACTTTTACTTCGGCGCCCCACGTTTTTCAATTTCTGTCATAATGCGCACGCAGTTTGCGATCGCTTATAGTAGAGTGATTGCTTGCATTATTGTGATGTATAGCATTTATTTTCTACTTTTTAGTTCAAACAGAAAACGTGGGTTTTTAAAAACTTTTTTAATGATAATTATTTTGAAGTTGGCAATATAGTTGCTGCGTTACAATTACACCACGGTCCCTCTATACACCTTTCAATAACCCACCCTCTCACCTCTGGTCAACGTCAAACATTATTTGTCGTCTGGTTCAGTTATTAGAGACGGGGACAGCTTAGTGTAAGAAAAAATTGCGGTCTAAGAAATCATGAATTAGTGTGCTCGCGATTTAATACTAAAATACCACTCGCCTAGCGTTTTTTAAAAATGTATTTCGGGTTAGCTCTACCACGGCACTTTTTTTTTTTTTTAAAAACAACGAGAAACACTGACCCGGTAATACAAAAATAAACACCGCTGATAAGGCCCCTAGGAGTTGTATGACCACGCCAATATTGGGAATAAAGATGAACAACAGAATGGTGAAGGTGAACCACACCAATGTAGTTATGACACGTTTAGTCTTTTCTCTGTGTGAAATTTCTTCTGGGCTCATTTTCCACAACATTCCCCATATTGTGTCAAACGCATCTCTGTTGAGTTAAGGTTTACTTTTATTATTTGTTTGCCGTTTGTAAAGTCTATGCTCGATTAACAAATTATAGATGTAAAAACATTATTACTGTTTGAGGTGCATATTTTCGTTAGATGTATTAAAATGTGCAACGATACTTACCTTCCACATAAGCAGATCAATGGGTATGTGGTGTATGTTTTCACAGCTATAAGAACTACAGACACCATCACTTCAGTTGTTGGGTTAAACGACAGCAACACATCATTTGCAATGTTGTCACCGAACTGAGTATATGTGTAAAAAAATGTTATGACTAGGGAAAAATTTTGGTATGGTGTGATAACTCTACATTAAGTAACATTAAGTAACGGGTCGTTAAAGTTAATGGTCGCTAAACCAAATAGTCCCATGTTCGAATTCCCAGGCATATCTGGCAACCTATCTAGGAGAGAAAACGCCAAAATTATACAATTGCTGCATTGTAGGTTGTTCTTCGTTTTCTCAAGGGGCGTGGAAGAAAAGCAGAATAAAATCGGTGTCAACGGCCTATATAGCACATAACAGATTGACACGTAATACTTAATTGTGTTGGAGGAAATCCCTTCCAACCACACAATTAACTACACAGAAGAAGATGAAGAAACAGCTCTTAAATAAAAATACTGAATTGCTTAAAGGCGTGTTTACCATATGACTATTGTTAAATCCATATTTTCATCGACTTTTGTATTACAATTGGTTCAAGCACAACATATAAGAACTATTTATTCGTTATATAACACATACAGTATCATCAGACATCTAAATAATGATAAAACGGCTATTAAGCAAAACCATAATACACAAACCTGTAGATATCCCATCGCTGCAGTGGCCGTGTAAGCTATGATACACAATATCATGGCAAGTGTTACTGTTTTAGAGAACTCTCTCGTGTTACGCTTGGCCATACAGGAGTAGATAGGGACGATACAGACATGACACTAGAAAAAAAAAAGTTAAAATTGTTACTATTATTAAATGTTTTGAATTTTAGTCGATATTCCCTCTTTCCATCTGTCAGTCTCTCATTCCTTAACTCAGTTCAGGTGGGAAAATCTATGTACTTTTAGCACAACTTTCAATGATAATGCTTTTAACAGTGCATAGAAATAAAGAATATTTTATGTCTGTATTGCTGTTAAAAGAACGGTTGAGGAAGAAGCGAAAACAGCTGGGCTCACATGGGCACAGATTAAGGGAGCAGCCCAAAACCGAGTCCGCTGGAAATGTGTGGTTGCAGCCCTTTGCTCCCCATGGACCACAAAGGAATGATGATGAGGATGATTACGATTACCGCTAAGCTGCAATTTAAAGTTTATTTAAATTGTAGTTTTTCTACTGTGACAATTGGCTATTTTCGTCCGGTGAGTAACTCGACACACTTAGGGATTTCCTGTAATCAGAAGTGATACTTTACTTTTCGGTTTCACGAAAACCTCCGGAATTAGGAAATGGATATCATTTTTTTCACGAACCAGATTATTCTAGAACTTTCGCCTCTCTGTTTTCTTGGGAAAAAAAGCAGTTTTGTCGCAATTCTACCTACTATATTTATAGCACGATGCAACCGGGAGTATAATTTCCGCATATCGGAAATCCCCAATTAATTAAATAAATTTCTTACTCGAGTTATCGTTTTCACAAAGAAAATTGAGTAATGAACAACCTCTGTTTATCGGTAATCGTTTTCACGTTGAGAGAAACCTACAAATATGATCTTAAACTTATGTATGAAATTTTGTCCAATTAGATGATGTAGTACTCAAGTTACCGTTCTTTTGCGAAAAAGGTGAAAGTGCCACTTATTGGAAATCGCTCAAATGTTGACTCTACTTAAGAACAGGATCTAATAATTATAGTTGAAATTTCGTTATTTTAACTCAGGGGTCTCCAAACTACGGCCCGCGGGCCGGATGCGGCCCGCGAGATCCTCTCATCCGGCCCGCGACGATCTTTTTGTCCACGGAAAAATCGTTTGTTGGTTATGGCTGAGGATCTTTGCCCAGAAAAATCAACTACATGCCTGGAAGAAACTGGCCCCCGAACTGAAACTAGATAGTTAATGCGGCCCTCGGACTGAAAAGTTTGGAGACCCCTGTTTTAACTGAATCAAACTCAAGTGATCGTATTTACATACAAATTCCCACATAGACAAATATTAATATTTTTTTGTGCCCGCTATGCGAAAAGTTTAAAAATGTATACTTACATATTTTGTAATATAACGGCAATAAAATATTATAAAAGAGACTAAGTCTAGGTAGTTGGCATAAATCGAGTTTTGACAAACGATGTACACAAACTAATCTCTTACAGTAAGAAAAGACAACACCCAAAAAAAAAAATATCACTCACGTCAAAAGAAAAACAAATTTCTGGCACCACAAGGAAAACATCGATCCAATGCGTTGGCCTAAAATTTTAAACATCTTCAATTTATTCAGATACTAGAACATGAAAAACGCTATTAATACTCATTAGCTAGGGGGAACAATGCATCTAAGAGAGAAAACTCCGAAATCAAGCAAGAGTTGATAGGCGTTTTATTCATGTATGTTACTATTTATTATTAGTAAAATTATTTTAGAAAGCAATAATTTTCGAACTTTGTATTTATACAAACCATGTGGCAATAGTCCCTTGATTTTCATGTGATAAAAAATACTTTACTGTAACAAGCCCTGCTGCATACAAGATACCTACAACACCAACCATGCTAAGAAAAAAGATTTTTTAAAAATTAACGAAATGGAAATAATACTCACATAATAATTGTTATGCATAACTAGATAACACATTTTAGTAAATATTTATTAATCAATCAAAGCTTAAAATGATTTGTTGGTTGTTTTTTTTTTAATACAGAAAAATAATTTCATTTGTAAATACCAGGTCACACTAAAATTCGAATTTTTTTATGAAATGCTAATAATTATTTAAAATAATGTGCTGGTTATTAATTTAAATTAGTATCTAAAACTTCTTATTAATTTACTTTTTTCTTTAAAGTTTCATAAAATACAATCATACAGTAATTAAAAATTGAGGCATTTTAGAAACGTTTTGAGAAGCCCTAAAAGTATTCTAAAGTTATGTAACTAGCTAAGTCGTACGTAAAACTTACCTGGAATATCTTAAAAAATCGATTCTTTTAGGAAAACACAAGGGCAGTATAAAGAGGATAGAGGTGACGGACGTGATGAACGCTCGTGACGTGTAGAATGGTTTTGTTTTACAGTAGAGGTCTTGGGATATTTTATAGAAAACTGAAAATAAGGAATATACAGTGAAGGTCTTGGGATATTTTAAAGAAAACTGAAAATAATAAATATACAGTAGAGGTCTTGGGATATTTTAAAGAAAACTGAAAATGATGAATATACAGTAAAGGTCTTGGGACATTTTATAGAAAACTGAAAATAATGAATATACAGTAGAGGTCTAGGGATATTTTATAGAAAACTGAAAATAATGAATATACATTAGAGGTCTTGGGTATATTATAGAAAACTGAAAATAATGAATATACACTAGAGGTCTTTATTATATATATATTTTTTTTAAGCTTTGCTAAACTCAGTTCGTATTAAAGTCTTTTTGTTTTAAATATGGACAAATCTAACGTCAGTGTTTGAGAACATCTATGTTGGTTCACAGCTCTGGGACTTAATCAGAAAGACAAGGCAGGAGCCTATGACAGTGCAAATAAGAATGAGGAAGTGGCGCTGGGTGGGACACACACTGCGAAAGGCTCACCCGGGATGTCTTGGAATATTGCGAAATTAATAGCCGGTGACAGACGAAATTGAATGATGTCGTGCAGGCCCTATGATCCATCAGGAGCAAAGAGTACTAAGTCAAATTCAAGTCAAGGACTTAATCACGTATCTATTTCAATTTCAACCTTCTTCGTTGTAATAATACTCTTTGTTTACGTTTGTTATTTTCTACGTAATAGCATTTTCGATAACGATGTTACTTTCACCGCATTATACGACTAAGTGGTCGCATTAGTCTTCAGGTCCTATTTTGTGTTTGAGATCCTTTGCTGTTCCATTATGGCATGATTTTAAAATATTAAAAAATGAGGTGGGGGGGGGGGGGCATCGAGGTGGTTTTACGCTTTATATGTTATAGATACACACTAGTACTACATGAATATTGCACTAACTCAAAAATATTTAAAAAGTAGATGTCTGTGGTTTATCCCGTGTAAATATGGTATAGTCATCAATACAAATTTAAAAATACTCTCACACATCTCCCACTGGTCTCCTATAACTATGAGAAAGGTCAAACACGCTCCGAAGCAGTGCAGTAGAAGACAGACAGCACAGGCCAGCTGGGCTTTAGGGCCACAAAGGGAGAGCATCGTGTCTTGGTAGGTGTTGCTTCCCTTGATGTCAGAACAGTAGGCGAGGATGAAACACGCCAACAGAACAAAGACCAGGAAAATCTGTCAGGCAATTGTACACTCTGTTAGCTGTCATGTTGTGGTTAAAATATTTTTTTAAAAAGTAGCGTCTATTAGCCGCCATCTTTATTTAATAAATTAAACATTTTTATCTACAGCTTTGAAAATAAACTTTGTTGTCGATTAGAAAAGACCATGTCGTTACTAATTCTTTCGATAATTTGGCAGGAAATGGGATAATTTGCTGGGGTTTAAATATAATATCAAATAGCATCGCTTAATAATTGTCTTTAGTTAAAATATAACGTTTTACCTATTTCAAATCCAAAATTGAGTGCCTAAAACAATACCCAATAATTTAATAGCTAATGCATAATTTATTTAACTCAATATTAAAGCTCCTCGACACATAAAAAAAAAACCTCCTTTACTTAAAATAAATACAACTATCCACTTGTAGAAAATATGTCGATATTATTACACGGAACGCCTTATGAACTGGCTGTTATGTTACCATCTGAATCCAAACCACAAAACTATATTTTTTTTTAAAAGTTTGCGTTTGGGTCAACTTACTGATTGCATGATCAGAGACACCAAGACTCCACCAGCCTGGTGGTAGGCCATGGGGAAGTTGAGAAGTCCGGCACCCAATGTGACGTTGACCACAAGAAATGCTGAGGCAACCCAGCCTGAATTCGTCAATATTATTTTTCATTCATTATATAATCAATGTTGATACTGTTACGTCCCTTACATGTCCCCTGCTTGTGTGTGCGTTGTGTGTGCTGGAACGACAGGTACCCTCCCTTTGGTGTATAGTTGTATCCCTTGGTTGAGTGTGTTTACATGGAGCGAGAGGTGTTCACGTGAGGTGTGTCAGGTGACGGGTGTCAGAGCGTGTGCCAGTGTGTGAATCAGTTAGTTGTAGTGTGGCTGTGGACGTGGAATGTGGAACGTGGTGTTGAGTATTGTATTTATGTTGTAGACCCCTTTTGATCCTTTTATTATTTAAGTACTGTATATATTATTAAATATCTTATTATTATTGTTATTATAGAGTGTTAGTGTTATTGTTGTATACGTCGTATTTGTCTGTTGTTATTTATATACCCCTAGATTCTAGAACCCAACATTTGGGGGCTCGTCCGTTTAGCATGGCTACTACCAGGAGTGCCAGAAGACAGCTAATAAGTGACTTGAAGGAGGAGGGAAAGCTAATCGGGCTGACCGATGACAGTTTGGCTGAGTGGGTAAAGGAAGAGTTGAGGAGGGTGGAAGATGCGAAGGTCGAGGTTGTAGCAAAGGTATGTAACCCTGTACCCCGCTTGAGGGACGTGGCGGCGATGACGGTGGACGAAGACCTGGGTGCGTATGTGAGGCATTTTGAGAGTCAAGCAAAGAGACAAGGCATTGACCCCAAGGACTGGTCGCTCCTTCTGACGGACAAGATGAGTGGACAACTGAAGACTTTCCTCGTTGAGACGGGACTGAACCTGCATCATGACTTCGAGTCAGTTAAGGTAAAGTTATTGACGCACGCAGGTTTCAACGAGGAAAAGTATAGGGTCAGATTCCACCAGCTAGTACCAACACACGACGATATGAGAAGCTTCGCAGTCAACACAGAAGCCGCTTTGAGAGCGTGGGTCCAGCAGTCGGGAATAAAGGAAACGTTTGAGGACTTGGTGAACCTCCTGATAGTTGATCGGATAAAATCGGTGGTCACATGTCATCTGTTGGAGAGGCTGAATGGTGCTGCTAAGGTAAGTGTGGAAGATAATCTTAAAGTTATTGACAACTATAAGAGCACTCAAAACGCTAGAGTGACGAGGCAAGTAAATCAAACCCCTCCGTACGTCGCTGCTAGTTCGACAGCAGAGAGGATACCCTGGAAAAAAACGACACCGCGATCTCCAGGACACCACACTTGCCCTGGTGTACAGCCTATGCTTGGTGTTAGGAAGGTCAGCCTGAGCAGTATATGTTTCACATGTGGACGGTATGGACACTATGCCAGGGATTGTCATAGCAATAGTAATAGCGGCTTTACTTGGAGAAATAGGTCAGATAAAAGAGCTGTTGTGGAGTACGGAAACAACAAAAGACCTTATCGGTGCTACAAGTGCAATGAACAAGGTCATATTGCCAAAGAGTGCAGTATGGATATAGATACAGGCGCCTGTTATAGCTGTAGAAAGCCAGGCCACATACAACGAAACTGTCCCAACGGGACCAGTGGAGCGAGCAACTGGCGTACTGAAAATGTACATCGACGGTCAGATGATCTCAAGTGTTATTGCTGCGGTGGTGTTGGTCACATATCACGGGTGTGTCTCACAGCTCAGCGTGATATGTTAGGAAATTTTTCCCGGCTTAAAGACTCGCATATGAGAGCGAGGTAAAGCACGAAATTTGGAGGCGTATCCTTACAGAGGTAGTGTCCTTGGTAAGTTTTTTTTGTTAAGATAATTTATTCAATCAATGTTAATTTTTCTTTGTTTTTTTTACAGAAGCTGTGTATGATGATTACGGGCTGGAGATGATTAATGTAGTTAAAACGGCTATCGAGAAAGGAACTCAGTTTGATCGCCTTTAAGGAAAGATGACCATCTATGGCGACGTACGCATCTGCCGATGGGCCCTTACACTACAGGAAATAGCCTGTACTGTGAAACATATCAAGGGACCTGAGAACTTTGTAGCAATCTATCAAGAGTGTTTTACGACAACTAGTGTATATGATATTGAGAAATTTATTATTGTTGGAGATAGTATGATTATGTTAAGGAATTTACTATTGAGGCATTATGATATGATTATATTGAGAAATGTTTGAGAAAGGTATTACTGATGCAGTATAGAATGATTATGCTGATCAATTTTTTTATTGTGGCTTCTCACATGTATCTTTATAGGTTGAGATAGTCAGACCACGAGCTTTGTGCCCGGCCGGAGAAAAACCATAGTCCACTCTTAGGACCGAATTGTTCAAGCGGGATGCGAGCCACACTCTGGACCGAACTGTCCAGGCTGGATACAAGCCACACTCTGGATCAAACTGTCCAGGCTGGATACAAGCCAAACGCTGTCCCCACCGGTCAAATCGTGGCTTCCTAAGGACTAAAGAATAAATAGTCGAGCTCGGGCACCAACAGTGGCTAATGGAACAAGAGATGTTTGATCTCTTTAAAGAAAAGAGATCTGAAGGTGGAGGGGAGGGATGTTACGTCCCTTACATGTCCCCTGCTTGTGTGTGCGTTGTGTGTGCTGGAACGACAGGTACCCTCCCTTTGGTGTATAGTTGTATCCCTTGGTTGAGTGTGCTTACATGGAGCGAGAGGTGTTCACGTGAGGTGTGTCAGGTGACGGGTGTCAGAGCGTGTGCCAGTGTGTGAATCAGTTAGTTGTAGTGTGGCTGTGGACGTGGAACGTGGAACGTGGTGTTGAGTATTGTATTTATGTTGTAGACCCCTTTTGATCCTTTTATTATTTAAGTACTGTATATATTATTAAATATCTTATTATTATTGTTATTATAGAGTGTTAGTGTTATTGTTGTATACGTCGTATTTGTCTGTTGTTATTTATATACCCCTAGATTCTAGAACCCAACAGATACCAGGTAACACTTTTAACATGTTCTAATTAACTATAAGTAGTTCTTTGACAAAAAAAACGTTAATACGCTATAAAAACTGTAAGATACACACACATACTCACTCGCAAGATCAAACTGTATTTAAAACGAATAACAAAACCGAGTACAGTAACAGCTAAGTTAATAACCACTCCCTCTGTCACACGGCAGTCAGACGCCATTTATAAACGACCCATTACCAAGTATCAAGGTATAGTAGAGTTCCCGGTTCGAACCAGACGGGCAATTAAAGTAGAGTTCACCTGTTTCTGCGCATCGGCAAATGAAGTCAAAGTGTGATCATCACTTTACCAAGCCGACTTTACTTTTCCTAACCTTAGTCATGTATACATTAGTCTAGCGCTTTACCGCTAGGCCAAGCCGTCCCTTATTTATCACGGTATATGTTACTGTTATTTTACAATGATATTAATTATCAAAGTAATACGTCTTTATCAAAGTACTCTATAAGTAATGCTGGTAAACGTACCTGTTTTATTACTCAAACTGGTATTCGACGAACTAAGTCCTGATGATGATTTAGTGTCACACCACTCATCGGCAGAAATGATTGCCTTCCGTTCAATAGTCATACTCTTCTTTTTGCTACTACTTTCAAATGGTTAATATAGAGAAACAGCGTTGTGTCTGTTTTTTAGTGTCTAACAAGACATTACACGACTGTTACAATGTTTTCTAGCTTCATATATTGACACAGCTTCTATATAACATAGTTTAGACATCGCATTTTTAACATTTAAATAATTATCCAACATGTTTTCTTACAAAGAGCTTCTCATTATATAATCATTATACGCTTAAATTAGTGATGACACGTTTTGTTTTAATTTGTGTTTTATATTAATCTACATGGAATCTTTTTCACTAATATCACCTTACTTTACTATCGTTAATATCACTCTTTTTGTACACGTTCCCAACATGTTTTTAATAATAAATATTGAAATTTCAAGTTTTAATTCACTGATAAAAAAGACGCATAATTTTCTTTGTGAGCTTAATGTAGGTCACGATGGCATCTGTTAACTTACTGTGAGTCTGCACTGGAAAAACGGAGTAAATTATTTCATGGGCTTTATGTTCGGCTGGGGAATTATGAAGTTTACAATAGAAGGCCACGGAAACTCCAGTATGTCATTTAAATATTTTATCATTTTATTAACATATCGACGTGTTTACTCATTGGATATTATACCACGTAGAAGAATAGGTAATGAATGATTATAGAAAAAAAATAACCTGACAAGGCCACATAATGAATACAAAAAAAAACATGAACAAACAAGGAAGAAAAAAAGAAAGAAATAATAAGACAATGCAGAACAAATCTTAAAGTTGCTCTACACGTTACGCTAAAAAGCTGAGCTGAACAACAGCGTAAAAAATAGTTATACATAGTAATTGAAAATCCTCGTAAAATGTTAATATGTTGGCTTTTTTGTCTTAAATTCTTGCTTGTGATGAGAGGTTTGATTTGAACCAACATGAGTTGTTGTTTTTTTTGGCAGTATGCTAAAACGGAATGGTTTATTTCATTGGTTTTCATTTATATTATATTTCGCATTATGGATCGTGCATCCGGTAAGAAAACAAAATGTGTGAATTTATAGTTCATTTAAAATAAATTAATTTAAATTAAATTAAAATAAGCAAATGTGTATGTTGAGTTTTGAAATATTTGCTCTATGAACCTCGAAGTCCCATAACAGTATTAAATCACATAATAAAAACACACAAATAAAGAACATACAGCTTATTATTTATTACATATTTGTAATAATGATTCAACAATTTTGAATATGTTATATTTATATTTTGAATACTAATCTTTAAATTAATGGTTCTCAACGTTTTTGTAGGCAATGAACACCACTAGTTTCATACACACATTCACGGAAGCCTTGTTATTAGTTCCATAGTCCACACTGACAAAATCTAATCGTGAACATGAGTCGGTTTTGGTTCTTGACCTTCGCAGATTCCCTAATTCTGACTCACCGAAATCCTAGGGTTCGATTTTACCCAGGCTAAGAACCTTTGCTTTAAATGTATTGAAAATTCAAGATACCTTTTAATTCTACAGCAAACTAATAATTGATTATTGTTTTTAATAAAAGGTAAGCATCAAATCAAATAGTCGCCTCTACTGCTAGATGCACGTGAACTTGGACGAGTCCGGCTCAACACCTTGTAGATCTTTTATAATAGCCTGACATACGATGACTCCAATGATGAAGGCACCAACAGCTAGAAACACCATGGCTATCGCTCTTAGGACGTGGACACGTTGATCCTGCTTCTCACCAGACTCTAGTATATTCTGCATCGCATTTAGCAAGCACAACCCTGATTAAAGACAATTTTTTTAACGTTAATGTGTACTCCACATGAAAATAAATTTAATTTCCAGTCTTAGACTTAAAAATCAATTACCCAACAATTATCTTTGGAAAATATAAGTATATATCTGTGTATGTATATAACGCTCTTTAAAGGTGGAAGTTTATAAATATATGTAATAAATTATTACCTATTGATTTTTCTCAATTATTATCTATTATTAAAATACAATTGTTTTTATTCTTTTTTCTATTTTTTAATAATAAAGTATAGTATATAATATATTGTACACGAATAGTTAATCAATTACTTAAGTTTAACTGCAGTATATTCGTGTATAATCTCCCATATAGTTCACTAGAGTTATCTAACCTGTTTGTATATGTTTATTACGTAAACATTATAGTTAGCTTTGTTAAAGGCATTTATTTGACACACTAAAGTATATGTGTGGGGGTGTGCGGGTGTGTGTGTGTGTAGGTGGTTGTGGGTGGTGCGTGTGTGTTATAACAGCATATAGCTTTATTAAGGTTACACAAACACAATTTAGTTTTAGTTTTACTGCATTTTTTTTTTGTGAATTTTGAATTTAATAAAGCCTTTTTCCCAAAAAGGTTGTTTTCAATGTGAGATCAGTGTTTCTTTCAGACTTTTTTCTCCGGGGGGGGGCGCTTGAAATTTTCGGGGGGGGGGGGCGGTAGACTTTCTTCGGGGGGACGGACACTGTTAAAAGTATATATTTTCTATATAAGATATATAAATTTCATTTCGTTCGGGGGGGGGGGGTAGAATTTTTTCGAAGAAATGCCTGAAAGAAACTCTGTGTGAGATTCATTTACCAAAAGATTTCTGTGTTTCTGTTTGGTGTGGGGATCTTCTTCTTTGTTCTTAATTTTTAGTGTTGGGAGGGATCGAGCCTTATCTGCCAGAGGGTTTGAACTCGAGACTTTTTTTTTCGAATTTTATCAACCATGAGCTTTGCCGACTCGACCATGATTCCATCACGATTAAGGATTACGTGTCAACTGGTTATGCGCCTTTGAGGCCATTGACTCCGATTTCAGCCTGCTTATCTTTTTGGAACAAACTACAAGGCAGCAGTTGTTTAATTTTGGAGTTGTCTCTCCTAGAAGTGTGGCTGTCCCCAGCTAACGAGCCTCATCTGCCCGAGGGTTCGAACTCGAGACTTTTCGGTTTGGCAACCATGAGCTTTACCGACTCGACCACGCCGACCCTTGGTGTGGGGATAACAGATTATTTTTAACGTATAGCGCGTCGTCTACTTAATAACTGAAATAAAGCCTTATGGAGCAGAAGGACCACTGACCTGGTAATACAAAAATAAACACCGCTGATAAAGCCCCTAGGAGTTGTATGGCCACGCCTATATTTGGGATGAAGATGGACAACAGCAAGGTCAAGGTGAACCACACCAATGTCGTTATGACACGTCTCAACTTTTCTTTGTGTGAAATTTCTTCTGGGTTCATTTTCCAGAACATTCTCCACAAACTGTCTAATGCTGTCCTGTTTGTTTGTGTAATTGTACAATATTTAAAATATTGAATAATACTGCCCTTTTCTACTGTACTCAATATTTTAAAAACAAAAGGTAATTCTGTTAAATATTGTAGCTATTGAAGTTAATAAACTGCGAAAAACAGATTGACTTTTAAATTTTCAAAATATTTGACATGAATTCGATAGATTAAACATCTTTTAATATTATCTATTAGACGATTAATTTAGGATGATAAAACATCTATCATTTTACATTGAATTTGTTGTTAATTATCTTTAATTGTTTTTTTTAAATTCAAAACAAACTATGCTCCAGTACAAATAAAAATAAACGGTAGTGATCTCCCCTAAACTTTCTCGAATATTTTTTATATAACACTACGGAGATGGCAACTCGGGATATAGACATGATTTTTTAAATCCATTTTTAAGTACTTAAACTTTTTCAAATAGAAGAGAATCTAGTACTACTCACTTTCCAACGAAGCAAAGAATAGGATATATCGTGTAGTTTTTCACAGCCACAAGAACTACAGCCACCATCACATCAGCTGTAGGGTTAAACGACAACAGTATGTCATTGGTGACTAAGTCACCGAACTGGGGAAAAAATGTCATCGGTTATTTCTAACACAGCATTCAACTTATGTGTATCTAGCATTTAGTCACAAAATCGTTCAATTGCAATGTTGATTTGATGCATTTTATACTAGTAACAGCAGAGTTTATTTCCAGAATATCTTAGGGAAAGCAGCGAGCATTCCCCCACCCCCACAGCAAAACTAAATAGAATTTATATAGAAAATATAAACTATGACCAACATCCGCGCTCTCCTCCTCCGCCCCCCCCCCCCCCCCCCACAACCCTCCCTGAAATTAAATGTTGTAAGTGCCCTCACCCCTTCCCCAGAGAAAAAAACTGAAAGAATCATAGGCTGCATTACAATAAAACGTATTGATTTACGAAATAGAATTTTTGGAGACAATTTTTTTTTAATAAACATTGTTTGAAATTTTAAAATTAAACAGATTTACAACCAACATTTAATTTGATATATGTTTTTTACAAAATAAAACTAGCCCGTAAATTATACGAATCAGTTTAAATATTTTTGCACCTTACTGTTAAAGTTTGAAATTATAAAAGAACCATATTAATAATTTAAAAAAAACTAATTCAAATGCTAACAATCCACAAACCTGTAAATATCCCAGAGATGCAGTGACTGTGTAAGTTATGATACACAATATCATAGCAAGTGTTACTGTTTTAGAGAACTCTCTGATGTTACGTTTCGCCAAACAGGAGTAGATGGGGATAATGTTCACGTGACACTGGAATTATAACAAATTTCAGAAAAAAATATCATTTTGTTAGCGAAATTATGTTAATATTTTAGACATACTAATTAAAAAAAAAATTAAAAAAGGATTTTTTTTTAATAAAAAAAAATAGAGAAATCTTTTAGACTATTACATTTACATCATTTATCCAGCGAAATATGTGTTTGTGCTTAGCTTATGTATACATTAGGAATGTAAATAAAGATATACTTTTTGTAAGCATTTTGTAACAATTTAAATCTTTAATAAAGAAACTCCAAGTCACACAAAAATATAAATTAATGTTAAATTAATATCTCTAATAAACTGCTAATAATCATAATTTCGTCAATTAACAGCTCTAGAGCAAGATTTCTACAGTAATTATATATATATATATATATATATATATATATATATATATATATATATATATATATATGTATGTAAAATATTTATTATACCACAGTTTTAACGATATACACCATTGATGTATATTTATAATAGACAGACTCGAATTTAAAAAAGGACATAACACGTATACTTCTTCTCTTTTGTACAGTAGTAAAAATGCAATGATACCAGACTTAATGAAATAGATATGAGACCAGCATTAATGAAAAAGCAATAACAGCAGAGTTAATGAAACAGCAATAATATCACACTTAATGAAACATCAATGAGACCATACTTAATGAAGACATAACTTCATTAAGACCAGACTTACGTCATTAAGAGCAGACTTACGTCATAGGAGAAACAAATTTCCGGTGCAACAAGAAAAACATCGACCCACGACCTTGGACTGGAATAATTAACATCTTGAATGTATACAGAAATTATTTTTTTTTAAAGCACATTTAATAAAGACGTGCGGATAGTTCAGCTCAAGTTATAAGTCTTGTAGTGTTAAGTTATTATAGTACGTAAGTAAAATTTATTTTTCCAACATGGCGGTCCATGGAGCAAGTGAAGTAGAGTTCACATGTTTCTGTGACCTAGCCATTTACGGATAGTATGGTCAGTACTATGCCCACTTTCCCTAACGTTAGTTTGGTACCCATTAGAGCTGGATGGAGTCAAAGACGTTGTATTGACTTGAACCTTGGATTCAAACTGGACACTTACGGGTTAGCAGTCTTATGCTCTAGCGTACGACCGCGGTAGCCAGATAAATAGTTTTCATAATGAAGCTAAAATAATTTCTATAAACACTTTTCTTTCCAACAAAATATTAATAATATTTAAATTTAAAATAGTGTTGGAGTACTTGAACATACGAAGTAGAAATTGTTCCTTGGTTGTCATGAGGAAGAAAATACTTGACGATAACTAGAACTGCGACATACAAGATACCTATAACACCAACGACACTAGAAGAAAAAACAAATATTTTCATTACGCATGTTTATGTTTTTATCAATCACAAAGTTTTTCTAAAATTAATTTAAAAGAAATTATTTGAATTGTTTGTAATTTTTAATACTAGCACTAGGAATTTATATCATAACTTTTGGACCAATTTAATTTATTATTAAAGATAAGCAGTTTCTTCCAGACTTTTTGCACCGGGGGGAGGGGGCGGACACTGGTAAGAGTATATGTTTTCTATATAAATTTCATTTCGTTCTGGGGTGGGGGCGGTAGACTTTCTTCGGGGGGTGGGGGTGGGGGGTGCTCGGCCGTCCCGTCCCCGTCCCCCCCCCCCCCCCACGAAGAGATGAATGGCAGAAACTCTGAAGTTAATAGTATGTATTTTTTTTAAACTCTTGCGACGCTAAGATTTCATGTAAAAATCTGAACTTGATATCAATTTTAACAGAATAATCAATTAGTGGATAATAATTAAATATAAAGCCTGTTAAAAATTTGTTGAAAACGCTTACCGGCAACTTACCTGGTATATTTTAAGAAATCGATTCTTTTAGGAAAACATAATGGCAGTATAAAGACTATAGACGTGGCTGATATAATGAAAGCTCTTGTCATGTAGAACGGCTTTGATTTACAATAGAGGTCTTGAGATATTTTGAAGAAAACTGCAACAAAAATAGTTATTTATGATTTCATATATATATATATATATATATATATATATATATATATATATATATATATATATATATATATATATATATATACATATATATATATATATATATATATTATATATATATATATATATATATATATATATATATATATATATATATATATATATATATATATATATATATATATATATATATATATGTGTGTGTGTGTGTGTGTGTGTGTCCGTCAAAGTAGGTCATAGCATACACATATTGTTAATTTACAGTAATAATTTAGTTTTGACTATAGTTACCGTGTTAAACATCATCAAACAAAATAGTAATGAGATCACTATAGAATGTATTTCTAACGTCGACTAAACACTGCTAAAACGTATCAAAGTGTTTCTATAGAGCTGCCTACTCACATATCTCCCACTGGTCGCCTATAACGATGAGAAAAGATACGCAGGAGCCAAAGCAGTAGAGTAACACACAGACAGCACAAGCCAGCTGGGCTTTAGGGCCACACAGGGAGAGAACCACGTCTTGGTAGGTGTTGCTTCCCTTGATGTCAGAACAGTAGGCGAGGATAAATATAGCCATCACGACAAACACCATAAAAAACTGCCAGGAAAAAATAATTATTTATATTCAAAGATGCAGCGTTGATAAATAAAGTATAAGTTTAAAAAATAAAATAAAAGTTATAATTAATTAACAAAGATGTGTCTTATACAATAAAAAACATCGCAAATTATCAAAGATGTTGATTTTTTTAAATAAAAGTTTGTCCTAAATAATAGCAATCATGTTCGAGTTGGAATATAGTTTTTCGTGTCGTTTAGCAACCGTCAACAAAATTTACAACTGCATTGCTTTTAAAATAAAATTTAGAAACAGAATACAGAGCCAAATCAGGAGCAAATTAGCCAGAGGCGTAGCGAGGGGTGGGGGCGGGGGGGGGGGGGTGCATATGTCCCCGGGCCCCAACCAAAATGAGTTGGAAAAAAAAAATCTCATTTTAGCTGCATTTTTGCAATTTAAATATTTAAAAAATTATGTGGGGTGGGGGTGCAAATCGAAAGTTTGAGTGGTGGGTTCAAATCAAAAGTTTGAGGGGGGGGGGGGGTGCAAATTGAAAACTAAAAGGTTGATCCCGAGGGGGGCGCCAAATTGAAAGTTTGTCCCCGGGCTACATCTCTGAGATTAACTTACTGACTGTATAATGACTGCCCAGAGGATCCCACCAGACTGATGGTACGCCATTGGGAAGTTCAAAAGTCCCGTCCCTAGAGCGATGTTCACGACGAGAAACGTCGCCGCAAACCATCCTAAAAATAGTAAAACTATCCTCATTAGACCTAACGATCCATTGGGCACATGAAGTAGAATTCATGTTTCTTAACGTCGGTATGTCAAAGGAAGGTCTGGTCAGCACTATGCCCAGTTAGGTTAGGTATCCATCTAAGCTGGGCGGACTCAGGGACGTAGTACTGACTTGGTTTCGAACTCGAGACTTGCGGGTTAGCAGCCTAGCGCTCTACCACTTAGGTCCACGGCATCCACAAACCATCACGATCGCGTCAACAGAACATGATATTGGAAGTCGTTTTCTAGAGTGAGAATTTATTATATGTAAAGTTATATCTCAGTTATCGTAGTTAAGATGGACCACAACAGGCCGCGATAGATGAAATACCGCGAAGTTGTGTTACCCTCTGATTTGGGATGGCTGTATACACATGTATGAAAGAGTGCATAATACAGTTAAATTTTGAAAAAAAAATCTGCCTGAACATTCTATTTTATTTTACGGCATTTCTAAAATGACGGTGTAGCCTAATTGTTAAGCGCTAGACGGCTAACCCGAAAGTTTAAAGTATGAGTAAGGATTCTTTTCAGTAGAACGTCCCTGAGTCCACATCGTTCTGATGGGTGCCTAACGTTAGCGAAAGTAAATGCAACTGGACATCGTGCTGACCACACTGTCCCATCATACGCCGAGGTAAAAGAAACAGGTCAACTCTACTTCACTTGATCTATGGACCGGCAGGTTCGAAACTACTTTAAAATGTTTAATGTAATGTAACTGTTTCTGACAATAGCTTATCATCGGTTTTAATAATTAAATAATTGTTTCTCATATGAACACACTACGATTAATTGAAATCATCAAACCTGTTTGTCCTCTATTTTTGTCATTCGGTGGACTAAAACTTGTCAAAGACTTGCCCTCGTTATGCTTAAGGGCAATGTATTCAAACTTCAAGCTGTTTTGTTGAGCTTTCATTGTGTGGTCTTGGTGGTGTGCTCGATGTGTAGACTAAGAGAGAATATACAAGCTAGTATTAAGGGAAATGATTAGCGAAATGGTTAGTCTATTAAGAGAGAAAATACAACTTAGTATTAAGGGAACTGATTAGCTAAATGGTTGGTCTATTAAGAGAGAAAATAAAAATTAGTATTAAGGGAATTGATTAGCTAAATGGTTGGTCTATTAAGAGAGAAAATACAAGTTAGTATTAAGGGAATGGATTAGCTAAATGGTTGGTCTATTAAGATAGAAAATACAAGTTAGTATTAAGGGAACTGATTAGCTAAATGGTTGGTCTATTAAGAGAGAAAATACAAGTTAGTATTAAGGGAACTGATTAGCTAAATGGTTGGTCTATTAAGAGAGAAAATACAAGTTAGTATTAAGGGAACTGATTAGCTAAATGGTTGGTCTATTAAGAGAGAACATACAAGCTATTATTAAGGGCATTGATTAGCTAAATGGCTGGCCTATTAGTTTTCATGTAAGTGTAAGCGAAACACATATTTTAATAACGTAGACTTAGATCAGTGGTACTTAACCTATGGTGGTACCGAACTCCACCAGCTTCTGTTGCACATACAATACTTCCTCTATACTACGTATACGAGAACGTAATAACACTTTGATAAAATAATATGTAAACTTGTATTAAAATAATATATTTTAAATATAAAATAGAACTGTATTTTATTAAAAGTTTACGATTTATATAAGTAAAATACGAACCCTTTAGTGATTATTCTCACTCGTCCTCATGAATAACACAACCTTTTTAAAACAATGTAAAACACTCAATGGCTATTTAGTATGAAAATAAAATTCCTCCATTCACTATACCAAACACGGCAACAGCTGGCATATATAAACCAGACGTCTAGCTGTCATACTGAATCCATTACCATATTAACACAATTTACATGCTTGATGAGTTTATCCACTGTAGAACAAAGTCGAATGGCAGTTGCGTTTATTTTACTCAAATGTACTATAACTGTTTAAACTTGTTTTTGGTAGTGTGCGAGTTTTACTGTTGGTGCTATGAACATTGGACTTGTATAGACATTTTCCCAATATTGAAAATAAATATAAAATAACCTTCATCGTAAGTACATAGAAGTATTTTCTCTATATGAGTTTTGAAAAATTATTTAACCTGTTAGTGATTATGCCCCCTGTTATATTTAAGTTATATCCCTTAACATTGCTAAGATTTATCCTATATTTGTATAACAATTATGTCCCATCTATGTATTTTGTTTTTATCTAATTTATAATAATTTAAAATTGTTAGTATTTGTGTATTCCCTTCAAGTAATTGCATTTATGTTATTTCTCAGATTTTTATATGATGTGACTAGTTAACATACAGAGATGGGACTGCGTAGCCTAAGCGGTTGAGCGCTAGCCTGCTAAATCGAAAGTCTCGAGTTCTTCCCTGATGGGTACGTAACTCATGTTAGGTTTTTAGTCGGGTCAGCAGTATAGTTCTTTACCACTAGACTACGCCATCCCATAATTGCATTTATTTTATTTCTCAGATTTTTATATGATGTGACTAGTTAACATACTGAAATGGGACTGCGTAGCCTAAGCGGTTGAGCGCTAGCCTGCTTACCCGAAAGTCTCGAGTTCTTCCCTGAGTCCACTCAGCTCTGATGGGTACGTAACTTATGTTAGGGAAAGTAAAGGCGGCTGTACAAAGTGCTAACCACACCTTCCCTTCAAATGTTGAGGCCAAGAAACAAGGTATCTTTCGAACGTTATCAATGGTGATTTATCATACACCACCGTTCTTCAAGGAAACGGTCAAATATCAGCACTGCGTATCTGTCTGCGACATTAGTTATACCAACATGCCTAATTTTCAATTTTTGGTTGTTTATATCTCAAGTTATTTTTTATTATAAACTTCTTTTTATTTTCTTCTTCGTTCTTCGTTGTTATGATTGACGATATTCCCTCCAACACAATTAAGTAATTTGTGTCAACCTGTTATGTGCCTTATAGGTCGTTGACTCAGATTTTAGTCTGCTTTTCTTTTTGTTGATCTGCTTCTATAGCCTTTGTCCATTCAAGAACGAACTATTCGATTGTAGTAGATCACAATTTCCCTAATGTAGAGCGATCTTTAAAACGCATGTAGGTGCCAGAGTACTTGTGGGTCAGCCATAGGCGCTCCAGGTCAAATGACCGACAGGGTACTAAAGGGCGATTCAAGGGCAGTTTGACCATCAAATCTAGTAGTAACGCTGACCCCCCCCCCCTCCTAGTCGAATCAGCGTACAGGTAGCCTCGGTTAAACAATATATATATATATATATATATATATATATATATATATATATATATATATATATATATATATGTGTATATATATATATATATATATATATATATATATATATATATATATATATATATATATATGTGTGTGTGTGTGTATATATATATATATATATATATATATATATATATATATAATGTAAAATATTTTCCCGGAAAATATAAATGGAAGTCGAGATACTTTCTCAAATCAGCAACATATTTATTCTTTCCATTTTGATTGTTCTCAATCTTAATATGTTTGCAGTGTTTGCTTTAAACACTGACTCATCAAATTATCCACTCTATTAGAAAGAGTCATTTAAAAAGTATTAAAATATTTTCTCCATAAAAAATGGGTACGTCATGGGAGAAAGGTGTTCAGTTATTGAATAAATATGATTATCAGATTTCAAAATAATATTTAAGCATATTCTTTTAAAATATAATCAGGAGTATATGTAATGGTGGATTATATTTATTATTATATTTATTTGCTTTTCTACTCAATTGAATTGATCAAATTAATGTCCCCTGAGACAGGATCCAAAATATAATTGTAATTATTATTGAGGAAAATACTAAACAATTATTTTGCTTAAGTTGTAATTTATTAAACGTACTTTCAAATAAAGCTACTGTATGGTTATCTCAAGTTACGGTTATTGTTTATATTATTGCAATAAAAACTATAGCTTAATTTGCAACGCCTAATCAATTTTATAACAACACTTAAAAAATCGAAAAGTTTTTTTAAAACATTTTAATTTTGAAACATTGTTCTATCTTTTTAATAACAGCTATTTCCTTGAAAGTTATTTCCCTTATGAAAGGCAAATTGAATGTTTATAATTTTCATTTCAAAATAATCTTTTTTTACTTTCTCGTATATACGAAGTATAGAGAAAGCCTTGTAATCGTGCAAAAAACATCGAGATTTTTACAAATCTCGACGTTTTACACCTCACTGATACGGAAAAACAATTTTGCAATCTTGTCCGTATGTCTGTGTGTGTGTTTGTGTGTGTGTTTGTGTGTCTGTGTGTGTGTAAACACGATAACTTGAGTACGTTACAGCTAGGTTGATGAAATTTCATATAAAAGTATTTTATCAAAATCGTAGATCTATATCAACTTTTGAGCTATTTCCGATAACCGGAAGTGGTACTTTTTCTACTTTGAATTTTTCAAAAGCCTATAACTTGAGTACTATTTCAGATAGATAAATGAAATTTCACATGTAAGTAAAAGATCTAATTCGCTACCTTCTGTCAAATTTTGGGTAATTTCCGTTGATCGGAAGTACTAATTTACGCTATTTCTGATTTCTCAAAAGCATTAAATTTATAGAGTAGTAATAATATTGCGCACTATTATGCACATTTTGTTTTGGTGCTCGCTTGGTGCGCAATTCTTTTTTCTATGAGATTCTATTCTATTTTTAAAAATTTAAGTAATTAAAAATCATGTCTATATTCCAAGTTATATAAGAATATTCGAGAAAGTTTAGGGGAGATCACTCCCGGTTGTTTTTTTTTTTTTTTACAAAATGCAGCGCCATATATACGCCACACCCCTTTTCTCTATATCTACCTTATCAAACATCTTTCTAGAAACTGCAACCATCTCATCCCTCCTCCCCTTGGTTGCTGACTTTACGCTTGCAGAGATTTCCATTATTTTTTTACCCATGATACCAAGTTACCATGGCTAAAATTTACGTGGGGGGGGGGGGGGGGGCGGGGGAGGTGGTTTTTTTTTTGGGGGGGTGGTGGAGACTTTTAAAAGTATATATTTTCTATATAAATTCCATTTAGTTCGGGGGTGGGGGAGGGTAAACATTTTTAGGGGGTGGGAGACTACCGACCCCCCCCCCCCCCCTATCTCGACCCCCGCTGAATTGCCTGGTAGAAAATCTGTATAATACAAGCTCTCTTCTGTTTTATACAATTAATTAAGCAATTAAGTTAATTATTTTCAATACATTCCAGATTCTAGTTTTAATATTTAATAACACGCGATTATCTAAAATAAAAACGTAAGAAAGCTGTTTGTGAATGTTTGCGGTCTACGAACACAACACACGCTAGGGGCTCGTAAGCCTCAATTAAAAGTAAGGAATGGGACAGCTATGTTATTTTTGTGGAGCTCAGCACCGGGGAGGGGACGGGAGGTAGGTTTAAAGTGGACGGGAGTAGACAGAAGTGAGTGGGGGGGGGGTCTAAAATGTTTTTTTTTAATGTTTTGATTTTGTTTTTGTTTTTTTGGAAGAAGTAGTAAATGGATAGATCCTAATTTTTACATTGGCTCAAAACTTAACACTTAAATGGATGAATCGTAATTTTTAAATCAACCCAGGAAAACTTAAATCTTAAACGGATAAATCCTAATTTTAAAATAACCTAAACATTACCTAAGCCCTAAACGGATAAATCCAAATTTTAAAATAACCCAAACATCACCTAAATCCGAAAAGGATTTATCCTATTTACAGGGTAAACCAAACAGCAAATTAATCCAAAATATATTAATCCTACTTTTACATTTACCCACATCTAACTTTACACCGAAGATTTGTGAGAATTATTTACTCCTGTAAAGGTGTTTACGTCAGTTTGGTGCGCCATGCAGAGGCGTAGCGAGGGGGGGTGGGGGGATATATGTCCCCGGGCGCCGACCTTAGGGGGGGCGCCAAATTGAAAGTTTGAGGGGGGGTGCAAATGAAAAGTTCGAGGGGGGGGTGCAAATCGAAAGTTTGTCCCCGGTCGCCGGGAAGGGTCGCCACGCCTCTGGCGCCATGTCCTATTTTGTAATAGATGCAACACCAAACAAAGAGACTAGACACTTAGACTGCACCGGACTGAAATACAATAGGCTGTGTGAATTAGAATTTCTGTATAATTAGTAAATTTTCATCGAGTCAATGTGTTGTGGTAGGGGTTGTTATATCGCTTAATATAAATAAACTAGTAGGCTATATCCCATTTACCGCCATAGTGTATGTTATCGAAGGAAAACATTGTTGTGACTTTCATCGTTTTACTTTCCCTGGCCACTCCGGTTGACTTCAAGGAGAGGATGAGGGCGTTTTTTTTAGATATTTGAATTTATAAAACAATTATAAAACTATTTTCAACGGCTTATAGTCAATACAAAAAATATTAAAATGAGCAAAATTTATGGTTCCCAAAAGGTTTTAATTTTTTTTAAGTAACTATAAGTTTATGGCTTACAAATTTTAAAAATAATTTAGTGTGATTGCATAAACTTTTCAAGCCTTTTGTGTTGTTGCTATCTGCAGTTGAACTTGGACGAGTCTGGCTGGACGCCGCGAACGTCTTGCATGATGGCCTGTGATAATGTGAGTCCAAAGATGAACACACCCACGACAACCAAAACAACGGCTGTCCCTCTTAACACGAGGAACGTCCCAGCTTGTTGCTCGCCCGATTCTATTTTGTTCTGCATCGTCCTTAATAAGCACATCCCTGTAAAAGTTGAAAATTGTTCTGCTATGTGAAAAAAATAGTTGGATTCTTGTTTTTTAAGGAACGATAACAAAAACATAGGAGATCTGGCATTCAAACATTTTTTGCTTAAAAAAGTCACACACTGCGATGCTTTCATGCGTTTATTCGTGGGGGGAGGGGGGGGGGGGACAAACCAGGGTACTGTGTCAATTTTTCCATACTAAGTGACCCCCCCCCCCCAAGGGAATGTAATGCAAAATATACATAATTTATTCATTAAACAGTGTCCGCCCTAAAATGAAATGTAAGCAACCCCCTCCACACACTGGATATTTAAAGCCCCCACCCCCCAGAGAAAAATGTCTGAAACACAAGCTACAAGTGTTGAAACAAAGACAATGGCTGACCTAGAAAGACAAAAATAAACATTGCGGCCAATGAGCCGAGGATCTCTATGACCACGCCTATATTGGGCGTGTAGATGGACAGCAGTACGGTCAAGGTGAACCACACCAATGTCGTGATGATGCGTCTCAGATTTTCTCCGTACGAGATCTCATCCGGGGCGGTTTTTCTGAAGATTTTCCAGACTGTGTCCAATGCAGCTCTGTCGAAAATTGGCATGCACACTGACCAAATTATTATTTGAATAAGGCATTCATTATTGTTTCCTAATTGAAGCCGAGAAACGATCATTATCTTTGATTGCATCCCAAAAGTCTCTAGTTTAAATTCCGGTTCAAGTTGGTATAATGTCCCAGAGTCAACCCAACTCTGATGGGTACCTAACTCATGTTAGGGAAAGTAAAGGTGGCTGGGCATAGTGCTGACCATATTATCCCTTCATATGCCAATGTCATTACCCAATGGATCGCTACAGAAGTTTTTACTACTTTTCGTTTAAATTTACCAATTGAAATGCTTAGATATATGTTTGTACATCGAACACATGCAGAAGTTTTACAAGATTTTTTTGCAAAATAGCCCTACGGGGGAAAATGGTAATGCATCTTCAATTTATAAATATCCCTTCATATGCAAATGTCATTACCCAATGGATCGCTACAGAAGTTTTTACTACTTTTCGTTTAAATTTACCAATTGAAATGCTTAGATATATGTTTGTACATCGAACAAATGCAGAAGTTTTACAAGATTCTTTTTTGCAAAATATCCCTACGAGGGGGAAAATGGTAATGCATCTTCAATTTATAAATGACTTACTTGCCACAAAAACACAAAATAGGATATGTGGTGTATGTTTTGACAGCCACAAGAACTACAGCCACCATCACCTCAGCTGTAGGGTTAAACGACAGCAGTATGTCAGCGGTGATGCTGTCACCAAACTGTCAAATTGTCAAGTTAATTTTTTTAGATTTTAACGCTAGCAAATCAATGTTTCTGCCAGACTTTTTTCAATATTTTTTTAGAAAAAAGAACAATACAAATAACAACAAGCAACAAACCTGAAGATATCCCAAAGCTGCAGTGACTGTGTAGATTAGTACACACAATATCATGGCAAGTGTTACTGTTTTAGAGAACTCTCTCATGTTACGTTTAGCCATACAGGAGTAGATGGGAATGCTGCTAATATGACACTGGAATGTTTAATTTATAAAAATTACGTTTTTATAAAAATGAAAACACGATTTTCTACAATGGCTTTGTGGATTATTTTAATCATATATAACAAATTAAAATGTGATTAAGAGATATAAAATGTGTTTGAGTATCTATAGTAGATTTTCTAAATAGATCATTTATATTAGAAACCGAAATCAAAATTTAAGAAACGCTTATGAATTTCATTAGAAATAGAAAAAAAACAGTCTAAGAAGTCCAGTAAATCCAGTTTATTTATGCATTAGATATATTTAATGCTTTTTTTTCCGGACACAAGAAGCATTAATTTGTAAAGATCAACATCATTAGCAGACTTACTTGGTAGGCGAAACAAATTTGTGGCACAACGTAAAACACATCAATCCATGACCGAGGACTGAAATCAGAAAAAGTTGGTCTGGTACAGTCTGAGCACCGTTCTAATATGATATGCTGGCTAAAATAGAATCGTGTATCAGGGACAGAATTTTTTTTATTTTCACTCACTTTTTTTAGAAGTTGTATTTAATAAAATAGATATGTTAAAGAGTTTCATTTTCATAGATTTGATAATGTTTTGTGAAAGTTAATATTACATTATACAGAAGTATCTACTTAACGTTTGTTCATCGAAAAAGTTAGCATATATGTATATATATGTATATATATATATATATATATATATATATATATATATATATATATATATATATGTGTGTGTGTGTGTACCGTGTGGCAACATTTTCCGGGATACGGTGAGGTAGAAAAAATTTGACAGCGACAAGTCCGGCAACATACAAAATTCCTATAACACCAACGACACTGGGATAAAAGAAAAATCTTTTTACACATAATACTATTATCCAGTAACATGTAAGTACTAGATAAGATAGAAAATATATGTTAATGGTTTTTTTTTTCATGATTTACTTATGAATTTCTAAATAAAGGACATTTATTTAAATGACATAATGGTAGGTGTAATTAGTACACGTGTACCTAATTAAGAAACTGCATTTTATTTGTTTTTATTTTGTGTATTAATAAGTGATTTACTTGATCTTGATCGATTTTAAATAGATTTTAAATAGAAAAATACTAGGCGAAGTCAAATAATTTTGCAAGCAATATTTCAAATTCTATATTACCAAGATTAAATTATTTTTTTGAAACAAAACCTTCATTTTCTCATTTGAACATCGCGATTATTTAAACGACTAAACAAAAAAAATTAAAGTACCTGGTGTATTTTAGAAAATCAATTCTTTTTGGGAAACATAAGGGCAGTATGAAGAGAATTGATGTTACTGATATAGTGAAAGCTCTTGTCATGTAGAAAGGTTTTGTTCTACAGTAGTGATCGTGAGACACTCGGAGAAAAACTGAAAAACAAATGTATTTAGTAATCAGTAAAAACTAAAATTGTTAGACAATATATTTTCCTTTCTAACTAGGCATGTACGTCAAAACTGGATAATATATTTTAGGTTTTTAACTTTTTTTTTACATTATTTTTAGTGACTGTTTCTTTACCACCAACGTATGATGTTCAATATCCAAAACGGCTAGCCCTACGCAGCTAAATTTTATGTATATATGGCAATTACTATTTTTAATGTGTAAATGCGGTGCTTAGTCCGTATCGTTAATTTTAATTAAATTTAAGAACGTGTAGTACATCTAAATTAATTTCGATGATAGTCAACACAATCATACCTAAATGGAAAAAAAAAAACTTTGAAAGGCAACTTGTTTAGAATAAATATCAATATATTTTTTTTTATAAATGAAATATACATAAATATGACAGCATTATACCAAATAATGTAACATTTTATTTTTATACCGTTTTTAAATAATATTATACGACGTAAATTAAAATTAAAAGTAAATATTGCACAACTTAAAACCAAAGATATTCACTATTTAAAGCTGATTTAAATATGAAATAATAGGGCGTGACAAATACTCAGGTATTATACACTGAATGATTTTTACAATAAGAAACTAAAACGATGATCAAATCGAAAGCATGATATATACAAAGACAAACACATGAAAACAAAATTAAATCAATTTTATTGAATAAAAAACCACCAGCTGAAGATAAATTATACAATATAAAAACGATTTAGATCAAATATACTCACATATCTCCCACTGGTCGCCTATTATAATGAGCAAAGTGATACACATGCCGAAACAGAAAAGTGATACACAGACTGCACAAGCCAGCTGGGCTTTAGGGCCACACAGGGAGAGAACTGCGTCTTGGTAGGTGTTGCTTCCCTTGATGTCAGAACAGTAGGCGATGATGAGTACAGTGAGCACTACAAATACAAGCAGAACCTGTAGATGAAGAAAGTAATGAAATAAATAACGATTTTATGAAGTGATTTTTTTTTGGTGGTGTTTTTTCTTTTGCGCTAAATAAGCCTTTAATGCAAATAGGGACTACTTACTTCCACATTGAAAACAAATATTGAATTATGCAAAATACAATTTAAACCAAGAGTATAAAAGCGCTTTAATTTTTTTAACGTTACAACTTTTAAAATATTAACTATAAAAAATATATAATGTATGTTTCACTAAGTGTGAACACTAGTTAATACAAACGAAATATTAAAATCATGTTATTTTTAACTGCATTGAGTAAACTGAAATACATTTCATCGCTAAATACTTTTCACAAAAAATGTACAGAATTGAATATCGTGGTGCTTCACAAGGATGCCAACAACCCTAATAATGAATGAAAAGTAAAATTCCTTTATCGAGCCCAATGGTCCATGGTGCAAGTGAAGTAGAGTTCACCTGTTTCTGTGAATTTGGCATATGAAAAGATAGTGATGCCAAGCTATCTTTACTTTCTCTAACGTGAGTTAGGTACCCATCAGGGTTGGGTGGACTCAGTGACGTTCTACTGACAAGACCCCGGATTCGAACTCGAGTCTCCAGGGCTAGCAGTATAGCGCTGTACCTCTAAGTCACTCCATCCCATAATAACTAATCACCTGAATAATAATTTTTGTAATAACTATTGAATGTTCACCAACTCACCGACTGGACTATCACAGCTGTTAAGACCCCACCCGCCTGATGGTAGGCAGCCGGAAGGGTAAGAAGTCCAGCTCCCAAAGCCGCGTTGACCACGAGAAACGCTGACACAAACCACCCGGAACCTACAACGTAAAACTTGTCAACACATTGCAGCGTTTTATTAATTTAGTTTACAGAACAACTTAGCCATTTAACTCGACGTGTCTCAGTTACAAGCTTATACATGTTTTTAAAATACTTGACTAATGTATCTTGATATTCTTAGTAAAACAGATATTGAATTTCTATCAACGTTTTTATATGTACTGTCACGGAGTGAAGTAATTCCTGCTAAAGATTTAATAAAATTTAACACTATTAAATTTGTTTACAGTAAACTTAACCCTTTATATTGACCTGTCTCAGTCACATGTCGGTGAAGTTGTTAAAAAGACTTGACTCGTGTATTTTGATATTATAAGTAAAAACAGATATTTAATTTCTATCAACGTTTTTACGTGTACTGTCATTAATTGAGGGCATTCCGGCTATATATTTAACAAATTTTAACTCTATTATTAGTTTTGTTTACCATAAAACTTAACCCTTCAACTCGACTTGTTTCAGTTACAAGTTTATAAATGTGTTAAAATACTTGACTAATGTATTTTGATATTGTCAGCAGTGGCGGAACTAGAAAAAAAGGGCCACCCCGCAAAAAAATATTTTAGGCCCCCCATATATATATATATATATATATATATATATATATATATATATATATATATATATATATATATATATATATATATTTATATATTTATATATTTATATATATATATATATATATATATATATATATATATATATATATATATATATATATATATATATATATATATATATATACACAATCACAAATACGAACATAGGATACTCGTTGCTGGCCTGTTCGGGATTCGAAAAACACCAATTTAAAAAATTTTCAACATCATGTCATGTGTGTTAGTGCATTAGTGTGTTTTGTGAAAATCAGTTTTAATTAATTTTTGATAGAAGCCCTCTTAACGTCATGTCGTTCAAAATTATATAAAACATGAAAGCTTTGTATAAGTAATGGTGTCTCGTGTTATGTTTATTTTTATGTTTTTTTTTGTAGTTGTATTATAAATGTGTTAAATATTATTGATTTAATACATTTCAATACATTTCCTTTTTATACAATATTATTCTTTAGTAATTACTTATAAAAAAAGTAATAATTAAGAGAAGTGATTGCTTTTTAATTTGTTTAGTACAAATCTATTAAAAGGAGCTTATGATCACTCCTATTCGACTATTTTTTTGAAAAGGGAAATAAGTCATGGAAGTGGTTTGAAAAATTGCTTATCTTTGATAGGTTTATTTGTAGGAGAAAGACTCGGCTTTCACAGTGGTTTAAAAACAAAGGGAAAAGGAATATACAAGTGCGTGGGGTGGTGTCTATAGAATAAAGATAATCCAACCGCAACTACGGTAATTTTTTTACAAAACAACCATCAAGTCAAAAATGAAAGAAAAGTTACTTTTTTTTAACAATAAAAAAAATATTATGGTCGGCTCTGGGCCCCTAAATGGCGTGCCCCTTCCCCCCCCCCCCCCCCCCCGCATTGCGGGGTCTGGCGGCACTGTAGTTCCGCCCCTGATTGTCAGTAAAAACAGATATTTAATTTCTATCAACGTTTTTACGTGTGCTGTTTTGAAGTAAATTAATTTCTGTTACAGATTTAACAAATTTTTACTCTGTTAGTTAACTTTACAGTAAAACTTAACCTTTTATATCGCAACTGAATGTGTTTAAAATACTTGACTAATGTATTTTGATATTGCCAGTAAAAACAGATATTTAATTTCTATCAATGTTTTCACGTGTACTGTCATGAATCGAAGTAATTTCGGCTATATATTTACCAAATTTAACTCTCTTATTTTTGTTTGCAGTAAAACCATTTAACTCGACTTATTTCAGTTACAAATTTATACATTTGTTAAAATACTTGACTAATGTATTTTGATATTGTCAGTAAAAAACATATATTTAATTTCTGTCAACGTTACCTTTTTGTTTACGTGTACTGTCATGAAGTGAAGCACTTTCTGCTGTAGATTTTAGCTCGTTTAGCTCAACCAAGTACTCAAAATTGACGTTGTTCACTTGAATACCCATGGCTTGCTTCGAGTAGATCTAACTGCAATAGTTTTAAAGCAACTAATATCGTTTAAATATTTTGGCTTTACAAGAAAGCACACTATCTTACCATCATAATCATCACTGGGAAAAGTTTAACCAAAAAGCTATTAGCCAATGTTATATTATTAACGGGTTTGTTTTTGCATTCATCAACATAGTTTCGTATTTAAAAAGTATAATCGATAACTTACCATACACATGCATAATAATAATTTTAAAAAATGTTTTGTATGTTAAATGAAATCTGCTGAGTTATGTGCCGTCAGAAAAAGTAAAGTAGTAAAGTGAAGTAGAGTCCACCTGATTCGGTGACCTCGACACAAGAGAACGTGTAGTCAGCACTATGCCCAGCGTTTAGTCTTCCTTTAATACCCATCAGAGCTGGGCGGACACAGGAACATTCTACTGACCTAAGCCCGTATTTGAACTCGAGACTTTCAGGTTAGCAGTCGTATGCACAACCATTCGACCACGATCTATTTACTGTTTACATCAGTCTGACCCTAGCTACTTCTCTCGATTGAATTCACAATTAAAAGTCATTAAGAGATATTCTACTTGCCTTTCTAACACAGAGCATCTCTACTAAAGCTGGTTCATTGTTTCACTTCAGTAGTCTAATTCAAGTTACTGTTTTGCTGTTTTTAACTTCTCAATTCTCGTTAAACATGAAATATTATGTCACTTCAATAGTCTAATTCAAGTTACTGTTTTGCTGTTTTTAACTTCTCAATTCTCGTTAAATATGAAATATTATGTCACTTCAATAGTCTAATTCAAGTTACTGTTTTGCTGTTTTTAACTTCTTAATTCTCACTAAAAATTAAATATTATGTCACTTCAATAGTCTAATTCAAGTTACTGTTTTGCTGTTTTTAACTTCTTAATTCTCACTAAAAATGAAATATTATGTCACTTCAATAGCCTATTTCATGTTACTGATACGTTGCTTTTAACTTCTTGAGTCTCACTAAATATGAAATATTATTTCACTTCAATAGTCTCTCTTAAACTAACCGTGTTTTTACTTCAAAAGTCTAACTTCAACTGTGTATTTTTACTTCAATAATCTCACTTAATCTCACTGTTTCCTCACTAGCATACTCACTGTCGTTGTTCATGCTACTCCACTGACCTCCCTCACCCCAGACTAACGACATTTATCACTGTGAGCCAATCCCCATTCCCCATTACACGACTGTAAAACAAGCGTAAAAAACACGCGGCCCGCAAAAACAAGCAAATAACGTGTAAATTTACCCGCATAAATCCTTCAACCATCTGTTAATTAGATCTTTAAACAGGAGATAGCTTTTATGGTGTTAATTGATTGTACTGTCGATTAAAAGAACAGAGTTAAGGCGACAGATGTTAACTTTTTAGAGACTTCAGAACTAGGGACTGTGATAGCTTTTAGTACAAGGGTTCTTAACCTGGTTTCGATCGAACCCTAGGGGTTCGGTGAGATAGTTGGCGGATTTGATTTGATCAGTGCAAAAAATATAACTATTTAGAACGGTTTGGTGAACGTATATAAAAAACTGGTGGGTTTCGGTACCACCAAAAGGTTAAGTACCACTGTCAAGACACACACCCGATTCCTATTATTCCCTATTTGACTGTCTCAGTGCGGACGATTGAACTATTAAGAAGTGTTCGATGAACGCGCATATGAAAATGGTGGGTGTCTGTACCTCCAAAAAGATTAAGAACCACTGTTTTAGTAGAACGAAATAGGTGTAGTGTGGTCGAATGGTAGTGTTCATCTTCTAGCCATAAATATATCATGTTAGGCAGAGAATAATGTGGTCTATATTTTCCTATCGATCATTAGGTCTGAATAATAAAATATTTCTTTACAAAGTGCGTGACAACCAATTTTAACAGTGGGTGAACGTTTACTGCTAGCACATGATAACTGTGAGGGTGGAGTTTTCTTGGTTATATGGATTTGTCTATTTATATACCGTAATGTATACTGTAATACACATCCAGTCCGGGGATCGTACCGGGTTATCGTCTTCTTTAAAATCGTAGCCTGGCACAGTTGAGTGAAATTCAACACAAGTCCAATTCAAGATATTCTATAATGGTTCTTTATTCACACAAATTAATCTCCTACTCCTACCATTACTACATTTTTAGTTCTACTATCTACTACCTCTATCTAACTGCTATCTCTGTACATATCTCCGACCGTTCTCTACCGCTACATATCTCTAACTCCTGACCCACGCCTCACTGGTCATGTGACCTTCTCACGTGACCGGTCAGCTTCTTTATTTCTATTGGTTTAACTATTCTAAGCTATACTCTGTTTCTGCTAATTTCTATTTGACCTATCTGACGGAAACTAGCGTCATCACAATAACCATTTATACTATTGGAATGTAACACAGGGGTCTACATTTATACAATACACATCTAATTCACGGGTCAGCATCTGTATCATTGATATCTAACATAGGGGTCAACATATGTATCATCCATATCTAACATGGGTGTCAACATATGTATCATCGATACCTAACATAGGGGTCTACATATGTATCATCGATATCTACAAAGAAGTCAACGTATGTATCATCGATATCTACACAGGGGTCTGCATAATTATGTATTATTGATATCTACTCAGGGGTCAACATATGTATCATCGATATCTCACATAGGGGTCAACATATGAATCATCGATATCTAACATAGGGCTCAACATATGTATCATCGATATCTACACAGGGGTCTACATAATTATATATCATTGATATCTACACAGGGGTCAACATATGCATCATTGATATCTAACATAGGCGTCCACATATGTATCATCGATATCTAACATAGGGGTCCGCATATGTATCATCGATATCTAACATAGGGGTCAACATATGTATCATCGATATCTAACATAGAGGTTAATATATGTATCATCGATATCTAAAATAGGGGTCAATATATGTGTCAACGATATATAAAACAAGGGTCAACATATGTATCATCGATATATAAAACAGGAGTCAATATTAAAAAATAAAAAAAGGGGGCAACATTTACATTTATTGGACTCTAAACCATTATAGATATAAGTGTAAAATTAAATGAAGTTTGAAACTAAAACTAAGTAGATCACTAAATACACTTGAAAAACGAGTATCATCTTTCCAAAGCTTACGACTTTTCACCTTACTCAAAAGCGCTGCAAAAATAACACTCGTAAAGACACACACAATGTGTAGGCTACATAATATTTGCTTTTACTGTGGCGTCTTCTAATTCATTTACAGTAAAACTCTTCACTTTATAAGTGAAGTCAGAATATTTATTTGTGTGTGCGTTTGTGTTTGTATGTGTGTTATGTGGTGCGTGTGCGTTTGAATACGTTTTATATAAAAACATATTCTAAAATCATAATGCATCCTAAATATTACAAGAATGTATTGAAACCCTTACCAGTAAAACCAGTTTACCTGTATTTCAAACACGACTAGTGCTCACAGTGATATTTTGTAACAGACTGCTACGCGTTTGTGACCGTTTTCTACAACTCACCATCCCCAGCTTCACTAAAGGCTCATAAATATTCATTACATTTTTATGTTCAACTATAATCAGAGCCACTAAATACAATTTTGTATGCTGGTGTCTAAAGGAACTGATTTAATTTAGCTGATTATCTTATGAAAGTCCCCAAATACTAAATAAAAACTGTATTTGTTGTAAACCTAGTTCATTGCATGCACTTATTGTAAACATAATGCAATGCTAATTTAGAGCAATTGATATTGTGAGAAGTGATGTGTAGTATTGTTGTTAGCAGTATTGTTTATTTTAAGGCATTGTTTGCATGTGGTGTTGTTAGTTATCGGTTCCGTTCGTGTAATGAATGGATATTCTTGCACCAGTAACGTGACGTCTGCAAGCACGTGGGATTAGGTAAGTGTCATATAGTCCAAGGTTATTGTTTGTTGTTTTTTTATTGTTGTTTTGTTTTTCGAGACGATTCTGTAAAGCGGTTTAGAAATGAAAAGTACCTGTGGAAAAAGTGTCTTGTCTCTCTTTACTAGGGTAACTAACCTTAGCAGTGACTCTAAATTTCCGCCTGTTGTTTCCGACAGTCCTTAGATCACGTGATCTCGAGACCAATAACAACAATAAAAATGATAATAATAAGATGTACATTCGAACTTCATACAACCTATTTCAGCTACAGTTTTCATTTGTGGCCCCTGGGGAGCGAAGGGCTGCAACCATACCTCTCCATTGGTATCTGTATTTTTAGCGATTCTATTTATCCCTTAATTCTTGTAATAGTTTAAAATATCTCAGTTAATTTACTTTTGATGTAGTCACTTCTTAGAATTAAATGTAGACGTTACTACGTTGACGTAGGATAAGCACTTACATTCAAAGTTTTTAAAAATAAATTGCTCCGAGTTATGTGAACTTTTAAATTTTACTTACTACATTTGATCACGATTTCACAAATACAGACACAATAATTCATTATCTTTTCCCGTTCTCGCTCAAAACATATGGTGGTAGGTGAAGTAGACTTCCTCTGTTTCAATTACCTCGATCTACGTGGGAATAGTGTAATGTGTAATCTGCATTTTGCCCAGCCGCCTTTTTCAATAATGTGAACCAGGTACACATCACAGCTGGGTAGACTCAATGACGTCTTACAGACTTGAACCCAAGATACGAACTCAAGACGATCGGGTTAGCGGTCATAAGCTCTACTATTCAACCACGCCGTAAGACACAGTAATTATTGCCCTAACATGCGGTTGCAGTTGTTGTTGTTGTTGTTTTTTTTTTACATTTACAATACACCTTTACAAAAATAACAACAGCTTAAGTGTAGCAAAGCTCATGATAAAACGAACTTCAAGCACATTTATTTTCGCTCAGTTTACAAGTAAATATTTTAATTACAGCCCGATCTACTGACAAAAAAACAACATCTGTTTTTTATACGTAAACCCGTATTGCTTTATTCTCCTCCCGCTTCGTTTGTTTGATAGTAGTACACTTTAGTAGTAGATTAGTGGGCGTAGAGTGTGTCTGGTGCCTGTCAATGAGATACAACAACAGCTGTTGTTTGCTTCATTCTGACACTGCTAACCTACGGCTATTCAGTAAAACTGTTTTAGTGGGATGTGTACTACAATGTTTGTATTTAAATTTGTATTGTTATGGTAATGCATTTTTTGTTGAATAATATAATGTCGTATACATGAATAGTGGAGCGGCGTTGGGTTAGGTTTGCCTGTCGCCCCCCCCCCCCCCCCCCCGGGACTTAGGCCGCTGAAAAGAGCTTGCAGCGGCGTTAGGGAAAGTAAAACTGGCTGGCTATAGTACTGATCACATTATCCCATTGTTTTCAGAGTTTCATTGAAATAGATGAACTCTACTTCATCTGACTCATGATTTTTGAGCATAAACCTGAAAAGATGACGATAAATCAAGACTGTTTGAGGATGCAGTGTGTTATAAAATAAACTAATTTTCAGCAGTATAAAATATGTGACTAGCTATAAGTGAATCTGAAGTCTGGCTTACCTCTCTGTGTGTCACATTGTTAGTCAAAACATTAATCAAAATAACTACATAGGCGGGGCAGCGTGGTTGGGTGGTAAAGCATACGATTGCTAACCCTAAAGTCTCGAGTTCGAATCCCGGGTTTGTGTAGTTAGAACGTCCCTGAGTCCACCCTGGCTTATGTTAGGGGACTTAGTGATGACCACTGTCTCTTGTCATATGTCGAGGTCACTGAAACAAGTGGAATCCTCTTCACCTGAATATACTTATACATCTCAACAACTGGGAATTTATTTGTTGATTGCCCTTTGTTTTTACACGTTTTATTTAGAATAAACCGGGAGTGATCTCCCCTAAACTTTCTCGAATATTCTTATATAACTCGGAATAGAGACATGATTTTTAATTACTTAAACTTTTAAAAATAGAAAAGAATCTCATAGAAAAAGAATTGCGCACCAAGCGAACGCCAAAACAAAATGTGCATAATAGTGCGCAATATTATTATTACTTTATAAATTTACATGCGTTTTTTGAGAAATCGGAAATAGCGTAAATTAGTACTTTCGGTCAACGGAAATTACTCAAAAGTTGACGGAAGGTAGAGAATTAGATCTTTTACTTACATGTGAAATTTCATTTATCTATCTGAAATAGTACTCAAGTGATAGGCTTTTGAAAAATTCAAAGTAGAAAAAGTACCACTTCCGGTTATCGGAAAACGCTCAAAAGTTGATCAGGATCTACGATTTTGATAAAATACTTATATATGAAATTTCATCAACCTAGCTGTAACGGTACTCAAGTTATCGTGTTTACACACAGACAGACAAATACACAGACAGACACACAGACATAGCGACAAGATTGCAAAAATATGTTTTTCCGTATCAGTGAGGTGTAAAACGTCGAGATTTTTAAAAATCTCGATTTTTTTTTTTTTTGCACGATTACAAGACTTTCTCTATACTTCGAATATACGAGAAAGTAAAATGATGAATGATGTTTTGTGATTTATATAAAGGGTTTTTCTGATTTAGTAATAGACACAAAGACAAATTCGACTAACCACACAACCCTGCAGCCCATCCAACACATGGGCCACGCTCCGAACCACAGCAACCCACTCCACGCCCTATCCAGCACATTGAAACCCCCACTACCCCACATCTCACTACGCAAACCAAAAAAAACACTACCGAGCCGTTCTTTATAAATTACCATTTTGCTAATTAATCAACACAGTTTTAAGCACACAAAAAACGGAAATATGTCAATATTTGTAATTAATAAATTACCTTAATAAAAATTATATCGAATAATACATGCATGTTATATCACGTAAACTTAAAAATCAACTAATTTTTCATATAATAAAAAATTACATTAAAAGATTATATCAACTATCCCCTTTCCCATACCCTGTCACTTACCTATACCATACGCCGCTATTAAATTATTTTATTTTTTACTTTTCACTAATTCATAATTTGTGAATTCGACACTACCGTCACCCCCCCCCCCCCTTACCCCTCGTGAAAGCAGCCTTCCGTGACGACAGTTTATAGACGACAATAAAAATATCAAGCAGAACTTCTTACCTCCCCTTAGTTTCAAATCGTTTAAAAAGCAAAATTGTGGATTATATACATAGATAATATATAATTAATCTCCTCCCGGACACAGTTGCATCACGAACTAAAAACAGTGTTTACGATATAATTCACATTACTAGCCAAGACAAGCTGTCGATGAGCATAGAATATTTTATTTCTTCGAAATACATCACAAAATTTTACATAAATGACAATCTAATCGTAGTATGAGAACTCAATTTGAACACGTAAGTAACTTAACTTTTCAATATTATGATTCATAGTGCAGGTGAAGTAGTGTTTGTGTGTTTCGTTTAGCTAGCCGTAATTACTTTCCCAAATAAAAGTCAAGTACCCATTAGAGCTGGGTGGTCTCAGGAATGAATTAGGACTCGAATCCTGGATCCGTATTTGAGAAAGAATTTGTTGATTGAGAAAATATTAAGAATTTGTTCATTGAGAGAGTACGTGTTCATTGAGAGAGATTTTGTTCAGTGCGAGAGTATTTGTTCATTGAGAGAGTATTTGTTCATGGAGAGAGAATTCGTTCATTGAGAGAGTATTTCTTCATTGATGTAGTATTAGTTCACAGAGAGAGTATTTGTTCATTGAGAGAGTATGTATTCATTGAGAGAGTATGTGTTCATTAAGAGAGTATTTGTTCATTGAGAGAGTATTTGTTCATTGAGAGAGTATGTATTCATTGAGAGAGTATTTGTTCATTGAGAGAGTATTTGTTCATTGAGAGAGTACGAGCCGCCCCGTGGCTATTTAGTTGTTTTACTTTCGACTTTTCAGTAATTCATAATTTGTGAATTCGACAGTACCAATGCTGCCACTGAAAATATTTGCTTTAAAACACTATCAGTAGCTCGTTTAGGACGATAACCCCCCCCCCCCTCATTTCCCCAACCCCTAATTCACCCCCCCCCCCCCCCGTGAATGCAGCCTCCTCTTAGTTACCTCCCCTAAGTTTAAAATCGTTTGAAACTAAATTATCTGCCCTTAATAGCGTCATTAATCCCGGCTCTACTATTGTAAACATTTAGCGTGAACCACAGCTCACCAGACCATGTGGGGATGGTAGGGATATGCCTAGAGAGGAAGAGAGGAAGCTGCTAGGTGCGCTTACAGCTTGGTGTTTTCTAGGGTATCCAAGAAGAGAATAATATAAATAAATGTGTTCATTTAGAGAGTATTTGTTCACGACTCAAGTCGGAGAGTGACCTCGATTCTGTGTACAGAATTAGCTCTTCTACGTTTTGTGTGTGCAAAAACATTAATAATCACATCGTAGCAGAAGAGATTAAATTGCTATTCATTTATTGATTCTTGACTGAAAATTCTTACTTCATTTTAAAATAATGTTCGTAAATTTGTAATAGTTTTTTAAAGATGTATCGAGTGTCTTTATTCTTTTCGTTATCATAATCCTGTTTACTTTTACGCTCGGCTAAAAGTAAACAAACAAAAGATTGTAAACGGTGTATACAACATATTGCATGTAACATGAAAACTCTATTAGTGCGTCATCTGCAAGTGAACTTGGAAGAATCTGGCTTGACACCTTGAATGTCTTTTATAACAGCCTGCGATAATGTCAGTCCAAAGATAAAAACACCAACGATAAGGAAGACGATTGCCATCGCTCTTAACACGTAAATCTGCGTTGGTTGTTTCTCTTCGAAATCTATTTTAGTCTGTGTAACCTTAAACAAACACAAACCTGCAAGAAAATTATTTTTATATCATTAAAATTAATCCAAGATTCATTTCAAGAAGAACGGTTATAGAAACATAAATATTCTCAAATGAAGTGTAAAACAATTACATAGTAATCGGGTAACTATCAGTAACCATTTAAAATTGAATTGCAATTAAACAAATATGAAAAAAAAACACTTTATAATGTTAAGTTGTTAAATGCAAAAAGAAACTTGCTTATTTTATTAAAAGCATTAGTCGCTAAAAAGGTGAGATATTTTACGAGCGACGTTTGCTTTTATTAAACACTTTCTGTTTGTCTTTTTTTTTAAGTCAAATTAATTATAAAGTTATCTTTTTTTTTTATTTAACTACTTTTTAAGAATTTTTTTAACAAAGTATGCGCAACATAAGTAACTATAGCTATTGAACTTTACCTAGAAATCTATCAAAATGGCAATGTAAAGAAAACAAGTTAATAAAAAGTGTCGTGACAATTTAAGCGCAATTTCCTTAATTTTAATTTTTTTGTGACCGAACGAAAGGATATTTTTAAAATCTTTCTTCGGCAATATTGTTCTAAATTATGGCAAGAATAGATTGGTAAATGTTTCAAGTCGCTAAGGGGTCTGGTTGCCGAGATATGGGCCAAAAACTGCATTTTTTCGAGGTTTTTTGGCTTTTCCGGGAAATCCAGGAAGGAATTCCGGGAATTTTTTTGGCCCACAATCATCCTCGGAACTTGCTTAACATATTTGCTTTGGAACTAGTCCTCGATATTGCTTCGTTGTGGAGGAGATACGACTTAAAGCTGCGGACACACATCCATCCATCCATTCATCCATCCAGAAATAACGAATTAATAATCGCAATTGTCAGTATGAAAATTGCGCTAAAAACTATCAAGAAAATACAGAAGCTACCTATCTGATTATATAACCTTTTGCGGCCTACCTGGAAGGCCTTTATTCGTAAACGAACTGGACTCTAGCGTATAAGTGAGAGGACAAATAAACAAACCTGGAAACACAAAAATAAAAACGGCCGCTAACGCTCCCAGGATCTGAATGACCACGCCTATATTGGGAATGAAGATGGACAACAGCAGGGTCAAGGTGAACCACACACATGTGGTTGCGATGTGTCGGTTGTTTTCTCTGTGGATGATTTCCTCCGGGCTCATGTGCCACACCATTTTCCACACCGTATCGAAGGCGGCTCTGTTGATATTTGGGATATGTGAACTATGGATTTATGTAGGCGAGAATATTCTGTTAGAATTACCATAATTATAGTATTTTTATGGATGGGGGATACATTGTTACAGAATTTCGGGGATTAGAGGCTAATGGACAAAACAGGGAATAGTATTGAAATCATTCGAGAGGCCCATTACGTATTTTAAATACGATATTTGTAAAATAAATGTGGTTATAAAAACATGACTGCTAAAGATTGGATGTACTTCTTGTCTTTATTATTTAAGAAACTAAACCCAATTTTTTTTTTAAAAGCCAAAAACAGTTTGTTTATTTTTAGCACAGAAAATGTAAACAAAAGACGGCAGAACTAAAATATATGGGTTTTTTTTTAATTTCTATAAAAACTTTATTGGCAAAGTTTTTAGAATAAATTACTATCAATTGGGGTTTTCAGAATTTCGTTCACAAAGTTACTGTAGAGCCAACTAATGTTTGTCTTACGAAAGTGAAACTTCAGATTATAACTCATGATTGATGAAAAAGAAATGGAAGTATAGAATTAAACTTAAAAAAAGATGTCTGGATTTACAACTTTTATAACATTAATTCCAAAAATATGAAGTTTCTGAATTATTTGCAGGCTTAAGTTTTTTTTTCTTTACTGCTGCTTTCATGGCAAAATCTTAAAAGCACGATTTGTATTCATGTCATCAATAGTGATGGAAGGATTCAAGTAAACTCGGTCATGTTATTTACAAGGTAACGTATGACAATACTTTTGGCGAGATAAGTGAATCAGCTTAATAAACTAATTAAGATAATTTATAAACCGTACCTAATTTTGTACAGTAAAATAATTTCTTTTTATAAAAACCTAAAATTAATTTTGAAATATTGTTTTCAATAGAATCATATTTTTTATTTTGTTTATTACGACGGTGAGAAAATTCCACTATATTAGCAAAAAGGTAAGAGTTTAGAGTTTAGATTGAATTAAAATAGTTACTCTAGGGACGATAATTTGTTTAGTAAACAAGACCTACTTGCCACAGAAGCAATGAATAGGGTAGGTGGTGTAAGCCTTGACAACCACAAAAACGACAGCCACCATCACCGCAGCTGTTGGGTTAAACGACAGCAGTATGTCATTTGTGATACTGTCACCGAACTGACAATGTAGTAAGAGAATTTAGAGTTACACAAGATGAGGGTCTATTTAAAATCAATTTTAGATTAAAAGTACGTTGATTTAATCGTATGTAGGTAGTTACACACAAGTACAGACACACACACACACACACACACACACACACACACATATATATATATATATATATATATATATATGAATATATATACCTGTAGATATCCCAAAGCTGCAGTGACGGTGTAGATAAGTACACACAATATCATGGCAAGTGTTACTGTTTTAGAGAACTCTCTCAAGTCACGTTTGTCAAGACAGGAGTAGACGGGGATTATACTGATATGACACTGAAATATTAAATTAATAAATTAATCATCGAGGATCTAATGTTGGGAGAATTTATTTTATTATTCTACTAAAAAAAACGAACAGGTTTTATGTTATTAGAAAAGTAATACCTAACGAATAGAAATATAATTTTTTTTTAATATAGGGCTTGCAAGTCTAAGGTGTCGAAATCTACTAGCTGGCAAGTACGAAAACAAGAAGTTGTGACCTACTTACATGCCCTATTAGAGTTATGTATTTTAGATAGATGCCCTTTGATCTAAAACGATTCATAAAATATGACACGACAGGACAGAAATTGACGAGCAGATTTGTAAAGTTTGTCACTTTTGTTGTATCTCTGTATTTAAAGACCACATTGAGATTCTCAATGTCAAGCGTCCATTAGCGTGTTACGTACTCCAGGTACCCGTATAAGCTGAGTACAATAGGCATATCTTACAAAATAGGACGTTTGAATCGAGCTTGAAACTGTGAGTTGCCACTTGATACACCGTACGATAATACTTTATTTTAAATTCTGTGCATCAAATTATTTTTTTGTATTTATAACCTGCTATCTTACAAATAAAGTTCGTATTTTATTACAATTACTTATACTAGCTCAAACAACATAAAATTGAGGTTCCGAGTTAACGAAGGAAATATAAACCCAATCTACAGCCTAAACTTACCTGATAGGCAAAGCAGATGTTAGGGACAGCAAGAAAAATATCCATCCATGTATGTGGCCTAAAATTTTATACATATATATATATATATATATATATATATATATATATATATATATATATAAAGATATATAATTGTATATATGTATGCATGTGTGTTTAATGTAACAGCTTTTATTTCAAAATTGGTTTTCATATATAAATTACGCGATTAAAATATATTTTCATAAAAAAAAAAATTTTCTAAATGATTACAAATGCATTTTGAAATTATGGATTCATAATCTATTGCTTGTTTAAGAAATAATAAATATGTACTAATTACACAGACCAATATAAATTGATAGATCAAAATATAATTACGATTTTAAAATTATTAACTTAAATTTTAAATAAATTACTGCATTGTTTCCAAATTGTACGGATAAATTTTAAAATTTGAAGTATAAATAATACGTACATTACAAAGTCTATTGTCTTGCAATTTTGTTTTGAATTGTAATTTTATTAATAGCAAAAATCTTAATTTAGAAATATTTAAATGAAATCTATTAATTTATAAAGCCTCTGTTATATATAAATAAATATATATGTATATATATATATATATATATATATATATATATATATATATATATATATATATATATATATATATATATATATATGTATATATATTTAATTATATAATTTACCCTTGGATAATAGCTCCCGGATTTTCATGGGGTAGAAAATATTTTGCGGCAATTAGACCGACCACATAGAGTAGACCCAGCACGCCAATGATACTGGAGAATAAACAAACATTAAAATTATTTTATAATAATTTCATTTTTTTTTTGTTATTTAGCCGTAAGCTAAGGGAAATCATCCGTTATTTGTTTTTGCTCAAATAGTATATCCACGGTTATAGCCCTTACCTCTGGTGAATCAATTATCGTGTAACTATATAATCAGGACCCGTTGACTTCCAGTTTATTTATTTGCACATTTCCTTTTTTAAATCTTTAAGCCACGGATTCATTTACTTTAAATATATTACAAGCTTAACAATGCATTCTCCTACAATAACTAACTATTTATTTTTAAAAATAAAACATCATTATTATAATGCAGTGACATTAATATACAAATACTAATCCGCATGCTATATGTTTATCCTTTTAAAAACTAAATAAGAGCTTGAAGGAAAATATATTTCATTTACTCACCTGGTATAACGTAAAAAGTCGATTCTTCTAGGAAAACATAACGGCAGTATAAAGGCTATAGACGTGGCTGAGATAACGAAAGCTCTTGTCATGTAGACGGGCGCTGTACTGCAGTAAAAGTCATAAGCTACATTTAGGAAAACTGGAAAGGGATTTATAGACAATAATTAGGGACATTGAAGAATATTGAATAAAAATTAAGTCATATTTGAAATTGAGGAAAACTTGGGGTAGGGGAGGTAATAAACAGTTGTAACAACGTAACAAAAGAGTTACTGCTGGCTTTTAGTTAGACTTTCGAAATGGATAACTTAATGAGATTAGTTAAAACTCTGTGAAAAAAATTAGCGTGAAAACTTATATTGATTTTAAAATTTGTTTGTCTGGTTTCGTAAAATTCACATCTTAATATGCTTCCGTATGCAGGTATTTAATGTAGATTTGGTTTGCTACGGATTAAAGTTAATATTTGGATTATTTTAAGATTATATTAGATCGTCGACATCCCCTTTAATGCTTATTCATAGCTAAGCAGTATCCTCTTATTTTTAAAAAGAACGGATTAAATAATACTTGTTCAATGTAAACCTATTGATATGATATATAAAACCTTAAGTTATTTTTTTCAAATTAATAACAACATTCTAGATTCTAGATTAATACGAAACATATAAATTTCTTTTTTATGAAAATGTTGGTGGGGGGTAGAAAATATGAGATTTAATTAGATATAAATTAGTATAAGATCAATTATCGACTCACGTAATTCCCATTGATCCCCAATTAGAATCAGATAAGTGATGCAAGTTCCCAAACTGTAGAGCAGAACACAAACAGCACAGGCCAGCTGGGCTTTACGGCCACACAGGGAGAGAACCACGTCTTGGTAGGTGTTACTTCCCTTGATGTCAGAACAGTAGCCAAGGGTGAGCAGCGTCAGCACGACAAACACCAGGAAAAACTGATGATAGAAAGGTCAGGGTTTAAGTGGCATAATCATTCAGGACGAGTCAGTGGCAGAATCTTTGAGGACTTAGTCAGGGGCAGAATATCTCAAGACTTAGTCAGGGGCAGAATATCTCAAGACTTAATCAGTGGCAGAATATCTCAAGACTTAGTCAGGGGCAGAATATCTCAAGACTTAGTCAGGGGCAGAATATCTCAAGACTTAGCCACGGGTAGAATATCTCAAGACTTGGTTAGGGGCAGAATATCCCAAGACTTAGGCAGGGGCAGAATATCTCAAGACTTAGTCAGGGGCAGAATATCTCAAGACTAAGCCACGGGTAGAATATCTCAAGACTTGGTTAGGGGCAGAATATCCCAAGACTTAGGCAGGGGCAGAATATCTCAAGACTTAGTCAGGGGCAGAATATCTCAAGACTTAGTCACGGGTAGAATATCTCAAGACTTAGTCAGGGGCAGAATATCTCAAGACTTAGTCAGGGGCAGAATATCCCAAGACTTAGTCAGGGGCAGAATATCTCAAGAATTAGTCAGGGACAGAATATCCCAGGACTTAGTCAGTGGCAGAAAATCTCAAGACTTAATCAGTGGCAGAATATCTCAAGACTTAAGGGCAGAATCTCTCATGATTTAGTAACAAACGCTTTCATGAGCTAATTAGTGTTGTAAAAGTATGAAAAAAGTATAATCAACATAATGTGTTGTTAAAAATGGTATGAAAGTGTTATCAACATGACGTGTTGTAAAAACGCGATGAAATTGTAATCAACATGTGTTGTAAAAATCTTGATGAAAGTGTAATCAACATGATGTGTTGTAAAAACGTGATGAAAGTGTAATCAACATGTGTTTTAAAAATCTTCATGTAAGTGTAATCAACATGTGTTTTAAAAATCTTGATGTAAGCGTAATCAACATGTGTTGTAAAAGCGTGATATAATTGTGACTATCCTGAGACAGAATAAATCGCCATAGCCCACTCACCGACTGGACTATCACAGCCGTCAAGATCCCACCCGCCTGGTAGAAAGCTATAGGGTAGTTTAGAAGTCCGGACCCTATTGAAGCGTTGACGATTAGAAACGCTGAAATAAACCATCCGGAACCTGCACGTATAAAAAATAAATTTGTATATCGTCATGTATTGTGTTTTTCTACAGTAAATATATTATTGTTTTACTGTACAAACAACTATTTCTCCATCTATATTTTTTGGGTGGTAAGTTTTTGTATTTTAACACGTTTTTAAAACGTTTTTCTTAACTCAGCTTCGCGTTTGTTTGTTTGTTTGGTTGTTTGGATGTTTGTTGTTAAAATTGACATCGAAAATTAGCCCACTTCTGATTGCTCTAGAGACCTGAAATTTGGTATGCATGCTACTTTCGCCTAACAATTTCAGATGCAATCATAAAAACTAGCAATTAGTGACCGTAATTAGCTTAATTTAATTACGCCCCAAGGACCATAAAATTGAGGACATGATTTCTAAAGATACCGACAAGACTGGAGGCCTATTGACACAGTTACTTCGGCCCCAATCGATGTGAGCGCGCTGGCCGTGATCGTATAATGGTTAGTACTTCGCGTTGTGGCCGCGACAACCCAGGTTCGAATCCTGGTCGCTCAAGATTTTTAGTCCGTGTATTTATAAACACTTTTTTAAAAACCACGTTTTTCATGTGTAGCAACGGACTAAAAAGGAGAAAATAAAATACTTAAAAAAAACTTTTTTAAAAACCACGTTTTTTATGTGTAGCAACGGACTAAAAAGGAGAACGGACACGGTAACACATTGTTAACGGTGACACGGTTGGTACGCTGGGCATGCTAAAATACACATAAACACGTTTTTCCTTAACTCAGCTTCGCGTTTATTTGTTTGTTTATGGGAGATTTGATCACGTGATTCGTGAGTAGATCTCCACGCCAGCAACGTAAATTACACCCTTTCTCTGTTTAAAGCGTATCAGTCGCTCAAGATTTTTTTAGTCCGAGTATTTAAAAACACTTAGTCAAGTCATACTTAATCAAGTGATTAGATAAAGTAGAAAATAAACTATATAAAAAACTTTTTAAAAACCACGTTTTTCATGTGTAGCAACGGACTAAAAAGGAGAAAATAAAATACTTAAAAAAAACTTTTTAAAAAACCACGTTTTTCTTGTGGACTAAAAAGTAGAAAATAACTATTTACATACATTTGATGACAAAAAACGTGGGTCGGGCAGATGCGTCGGGAAATTTGATGGTGAACGTACCCACGTTTTTTGTCATCAAATGTATGTAAATAGTTATTTTCTACTTTTTAGTCCACAAGAAAAACGTGGTTTTTTAAAAAGTTTTTTTTAAGTATTTTATTATTAACTCAGCTTCGCGTGGATGTGTTTGTTGTTAAAATTGACATCGAAAATTAGCCCACTTCTGATTGCTCTATAGATCTGAAATTTGGCATGCAGGTTACTTTCGCCTAACAATTTCAGATGCAATCATAAAAACTAGCAATTAGAGACCGTAATTAGCTTAATTTAATTACGCCCAAAGGACCATAAAATTGAGGACATGATTTCTAAAGATACCGACAAGACTGGAGGCTTGTTGACACAGTTACTTCGGCCCCAATCGATTTGAGCGCGCTGGCCGTGATCGTATAGTGGTTAGTACTTCGCGTTGTGGCCGCGACAACCCAGGTTCGAATCCTGGTCGCTCAAGATTTTTTTAGTCCGTGTATTTATAAACACTTAGTCAATTCATACTTAATCAAGTCATTAGATAAAGTAGAAAATAAACTATATAAAAAACTTTTTTAAAAACCACGTTTTTCATGTGTAGCAACGGACTAAAAAGGAGAAAATAAAATACTTAAAAAAAACTTTTTAAAAAACCACGTTTTTCTTGTGGACTAAAAAGTAGAAAATAACTATTTACATACATTTGATGACAAAAAACGTGGGTCGGGCAGATGGGTCGGGAAATTTGATGGTGAACGTACCCACGTTTTTTGTCATCAAATGTATGTAAATAGTTATTTTCTACTTTTTAGTCCACAAGAAAAACGTGGTTTTTTAAAAAGTTTTTTTTAAGTATTTTATTACCGTGTTTAATTCAAGTGTCGCCTATAGTATAAGACTTGGTAGTCAATAGGATACTTTTACACTAAGTAATGTTTCGTGGTTATTGATGTGATTTGTTGGATGTTCTTGTATCAGTTGCTAAGTTGGCGAATGTTTGGGTGGGCGGGACAGTACGGGGACAATACGGGGACAATACGGGGACAATACGCGGACAATAAGGGGACAATGCGGGGACAATACGGGGACAATACGGGGACATTACGGGGACAATAAGGGGACAATACGGGGACAATATGGGGACAACACGGGGACAAGACGGGACAATACGGGTACTATACGGGGACAACACGGGGACAAGACGGGACAATACGGGGACAACACGGGGACAACACGGGGACAACACGGGGACAATACGGGTACTATACGGGGACAATACGGGGACACCGCGAAGTAAGTTCAGCAGTTTGTAAGAGGGTAGGTGTTTCGTTGTGTTTTGTTAGAGGTTAGGGTATCCGGACTGCCCAGTGGATGTCGAAGTAAGTAAAGTACTTTTTTAAACCTACCCGTATAGAGTTCACCTGCTTCTGTGACCTCGGCATATGAAGGGACAGTGTGGCCAGCACTATGCCCAGACGCCTTTATTTTCCTTAACCGGGTGGACTCAGTGTATATCGACTGAATTGAGCCCGTATTCAAACTCGAGACTTACACGTTGTAGTCTAGATCTCTATCTTTAGGCCAAGTCTCCCATCAACGTGACACAAAGATACCTCAAAAAGTAGTCCGTAACATCAAGCTACGTTTCAATAATTAGGTCAACAGCACCACATTTGATCGACCATAGCGTGAGTGTTACATTCGGTAAAGCAGACAACTTTTTTTAAACAACATATTTATAGTACCACGTTTAACTTCAAATCTTTTAAAACAATTGAAAGACACGATAGTTAATTTTTTTTAATATCTTGTTAAAAAAAATAATTGGAAGATATTAATCGATTAAAATTATTTTAACTCGATCCAAAAACCTCACCTGTTTTTTGACTGATGCTATCGTTGGATGAGCAAAAGCTTAAACAAGACTTGGTCTCTTTTCTCCCATCATGCAAGTACTCGAAATTGTTGTTTTGCGTGTGAATAGACATGGCTGTCTTCTAAACCAATTAAAAAATGTTAAACACAACACAAACACAACACAAACACAATACAAAAACAACACAAAAACAACACAAACACAAACACAAACACAAACACAAACACAAACAAAACACAACACAAACACAACACAAACACAACACAAACACAACACAAACACAACACAAACACAACACAAACACAACACAAACACAACACAAACACAACACAAAAACAACACAAACACAACACAAACACAACACAACACAAACACAACACAACACAAACACCAACATAAACACAAAAACAAACACAACACAAACACTACAAAAACACAAACACAACACAAACACAAACACAAACGCAAAAAACAAAGCTTTACTAGGCGTCCGCGCCCAGAGAGAGCCTTTCCAGCATTCTCTAACAGTCTTATTTTACCATCCGTTTTAATAACACCAAAAAACAAAAACAAAAAGTAGTTATTTTGAGAGATCATAGACTAATTAGAAAATAATATAAATAATCTAAACATGTTTTCTGTTTTAATTATGAACCTTAACATAAAATAATCAATGCGGTATTTATAAAAAAAAATAAACTTAATTTATTGAGAGTGAGTTAAATTTCTTTTTGAATAACCTCCCCTGGCAAAATAATAAAATAGTTTGATTAATTAGTGCTATCGACCCTACTGTTATTAAAATGTATCCAATTTTTCAAGGAATCAAATTGAAAATAGTATTTGACATTAGTATATTTTAGCAACATGCGTGTATTTTATTTTTTTACGTTATGCAAAAGAGTAAAACCAATATCAACTATGCAAAAAAAAATTAGTCATTTTATAAACAAACCCTTCTCTAATGGTTATAATACGACAATGTGGTGCTTTTTAAAAGCAGTGCGCAGTACGAAGTTTACTTTTATGGTTCCAAAATATATAGCGATGACGGACTGACACACAACCTAGCCGCTTATATTATAGAAATAACCGTACCGATAAATATATTTCACAAATGTAGACACAATCTATTAACATAACCTCATGATGACAATTTTATTTACATAATCTTACTGCTATTATGGCATTTCTTAAATGTAGTACCAAGCATTTTTAGATAACCTTACCGCAAAATATCACATATCTTAAATGTAGTACCAAACATATTTACAAATCCTTACCTTTAAATATCACATTTCTTGAACGTAGTACTAGCATTTACAAATCTTTAGTTAAGTATCACATTTCTTAAATGTAGTACCTTACCCTTTTCGCTACTCTTTTGTGGTCCTCTTTTTCTTATATCAAAAACATTTCGAAATCAACAACTTATATTTTCATTTTTGTCAAACGAAATGAAATTTTTATCATAGAGTTGAATGTGTTTTAATATGTGGGTGTATCACAAAGACATGTTGACGTCTGATCTTGGCGTAGTTTCAATGATCATAATGCAGGTAAAGACATCTGCTACATGTGATGTATAGAGACTGTATTAATTAACTCGGTGCATTGTTCCCAGTGTGAATTTTCAATTGAATTTAAATACCTGCAGACAAAACTTTACATACGAGACAACTATAAATTAAGGGTTGAGACTAAGGGAGGCGGGTTGAAATTGTGAGGGGGGGAGGGGGGGGGGGGGGGTTGGCAGTGGATGGGGTGGGGTGTGGCAGGGAATGGGTTGGGGCTTAGAATGAACGAGGCGCCAAGATGAAACCTAAGGAAGGTGGGGGGGTGTGAAAGTGGTGGAGGGGGGTAGCGCTAACAAAGTATGACATCAACGACAAAGATACCAACTGCTACCAATTTGGAATGGTTTTCAATAAAAGACATTTTACTTTTCATATTGTTGGATTTTTACTTTCTCGTATACGAAGTATAGAGGAAGTATTGTAATCGCGCAAAAGAATCAATATTTTTATTTAGAGTCAACGTAAGAAACCTGAGTTACGCGAATAGCCCTATTATTACAAATGTAATGTTATCCCAAATTAGCCAATTCCATAGCTGAACAAACAAAGATTTATATAAAATAATTAAGGCCAGAAATAGTTTAGTATAGAAACTCATTATTGGCATAGATTCTAAATCTAGATTGAGCTAAATTTCTAGATCATGTAGAATGTACGGCTCAGTAGCGTAGCGAGGGGGGGGGGGACATATGTCCCCGGGCGCCGACCTTAGGGGGCGCCAAAATGGGTTGGAAAAATAAATTGAAATGTTGAGGGGGGGGGGGTGCGAACCGAAAAAAGTTTGAGGGGGGGGGGGTGCAAATCGAAATCTCGAGGGGGGGATGCAAATCGAAAAGTTTGTTCCCGGGCGCCGGGAACAAACGGTCGCTACGCCTCTGGTTCGGCTGGCTTAAGGCTAGCTTTTCCGTCGCTCTAGATCTAGAACCTAGATAGATAAATCCATTGTATTCTCGAATTAGATTATCTTTGAAGGTAAAAAGAAAAATGTATAACAAATATTTAAGGACTAACATAGTTTAATAAATAAATTCAATAATTTATTGTGTTTTTATACCTGTTTTCATTTTTAACCAATTAATTTAGATCTAGGATTCACTTTCCCTTCCTCTGACTGTTTATTGGTAGATCTAAAGAAATTTATTGTATACTCAAATTAGAAGAATTTTTGAAAATTGATAATAGTGTTGAAACCTAATAAAAATAGCGAGGACCACACAGGAATAGCGAAAAGGGTAAGGTTATGTAAATATATTTGGTACTACAGCTCTACACATGCAGATTTTCTCCTGTAACCAAACAGACAAATAAAAAAATAAAAAAAGATATATACAAACTTGTAAACAAACGAGTTTTAGTACTATATAGATAGATAGATTTTATATGTTATTGCATTATATTATAGTATACCCACAGCTAAGTGTCACATCTCCTGTAGTAGCAAGATTATATAAACATAACCTATAAATTAACATGATGATAATTTTATTTACTTAAACATACCGCTAAATATCGCATCCCTTGTATGTAGTACCAAGCGTATTTACATAATCTTACGGCTACAAATCACATTTTTTTAATTTAATACCAAGAATTAACAAATCCGTACCGTTAAAATTCAACTTACTTAAAAATAATACCAAATATATTTACAAATCCTTACCGTTAAATTTCAACTTTCTTAAAAAATAATACCAAACATATTTACAAATCCTTACCGTTAAATATAATATTTCTTAAATGTAGTAACAAACGTATTTACAAATCATTACCGTTAAATTAATTTTAAATTTCTTAAAAGTAAAACCAAACATATTTACAAATCCCTACCGTTAAATTTCAAATTTCTTAAAAGTAAAACCAAACATATTTACAAATCCTTACCGTTAAATATCACATTTCTTAAATGTAGTACCAAACATATTTACAAATCTTTACTCTTTTCGCTATTCCTAAGTGGTTCTCTTTTTCTTATTTTAACACATTTCGAATTTAACAACTTATATTTTCCTTTTTTGTCAAACGAATTGAAAGCTATATCACAGAGTTGAATGTGTTTTAATATGTGGGTGTATCACAAAGACATAAGGGCGCCTAGTGTTAGCGTGGCTTCAATGTTCAAAACTCAGATAAAGTCATCTGCTACAAGTGATGTATAGATATTGCATCAATTAATTCGGTGCTTTGTTCAGAGTGGAATTTTCAATTGATTTAAATATTAGCAGACACATCTTTAAATACGAAACAATTATTAAGTATGGGGTGCGATATATGGGAGGTGGGTTGAAAAATGTGAGGGGGTGGCAGTGGATGGGGTGCTGTGGATGGGATTGAGGTTATAAGGAAGGTGGGGGAAGTGTGGAGGTGGTGGAGGGGACACCTTACCAACTGCCAGTGTTTCTTCCAGACTTTTTTCTCCGGGGGGGGGCACTTGAAATTTTCAGGGGGGGCGGTAGACTTTCTTCGGGGGGGGGGGGGGCGGACACTGTTAAAAGTATATATTTTCTATATAAATGAAATAAATTTAATTTCGTTCGGGGGGGGGGGGGGGCGGTAAAAAAAATTCGGGGGGGGGGGGGGGGGCTTTGTCCCCCCCCCCCATCCCCCCGAAGAGATGCCTGGAAGAAACTCTGCCAACTGCTACCTATCGGAATTATTTTCAATAAAAGAAGTTTTACTTTTTATTTTGTTGGATTTTTTTAAAAACAAAAACAATGCGAAACATTTTAATTTGCGTTAGAATTTTTATGTAGGGGAGGTGGGGGTGGGTTTTTTTTTAATCTTTGAGACGTATTTACAAGTAGTCTGGTGTTTTGGATACACTGTGAGAAAATAAAGCAAACGTTTACATTTGCTGTAGAAGAGTCAGACGAGTGTAATTAAAACGGAAACAAATTTAACAAGCATAAATAAATTTTTAATATAAAAAAAATATATATGACATTATGAAATAATAACAAGCAGTGCAACTCATCAGCATAATTTAAACGCATTTTGTTTTGTCGTAGTTTCTGTTGCTGGCGTCATAAACGCTCCGGGCGGCACAGTTGGCGAGAGTGACGTCACACTGACAGGCTCGATCACCGCAGGAAACCGAAGCCGAGCCTGGAAAATAAAATAAACACGTCAGAATGATTGGCCGTAACTATTGCCAAATGTCGCAGTTGTTAATGAATACAACATAGATGTTTTCGGGTCATTATTTATTTACATTTAAAATTAATGTTGATGTATGTCAGATAAGAAAATTGTAGAATATGTTGCCCGTTGGGAAAAACCCTAACATTATATTTTTATAGTGTCTAAAATAAAGTGATATCATTACAAAAAGTCGTTCATTTTTTTTTTTTTACAATTTTATTATGTACATTCATACATTTTTATAGTTTTATTATGAGCATACAATCATCCATCTCTAATATTTTTTTATCGTTTAAAAAGCCATTTGTTGATCTAATTTTTATCATATATTAACAGACACTCGTTTCACTTATTGTATATTCATGTAATTACATCCATTTATTACACATGTATCTATTAACTTAAACAGCAATTAATCCCCAGAAGTGTATCAGATGCAAACGGCCATTTATTCCCCAGAATTACATTAGATATAAACGGCCATTCATTCCCCAAAATTTTATCAGATGCAAAGGGTCATTCTCCCCCCCCCCCCCTCCAACATTGTATCAGATGCAAAAGGCCATTTATTGAACATATCTCACTCACCACACGTGCATGCTGTAGACGAGCAGTTGAAACTGTAGCTGGTCGTGTACGGGTTGCAGTGCACGGCTATCAGCTCGTCATAACAGGCGTCGTGTTGCATGCAACATCTGCAATCAACAAACGATTATCCAAACAGGAACATTTGCAATTGTGGCAAGTCTGAAAACTGTGTTCTACAATCTTTTTACGGTCATCAAACCTTGTACATTAACATCTGGGTTAAGTCTAAACAGGTATTTTTAAATCAATTAAATGTCACTGTGGCCTATAAATTTGCCTATGTTAAGTCCAGCAACGGTGCTTTACAACATTACAGCGATCTCTAAAACTACATGGGTTTTCAAGTTATAAATAATTTTGAAAAAGAAACAGTGAATGATAAGTTAAAATCTACACTTTCTCTGGTTACTACACTAAAGTATATTTTGCATAAGCTACCGTTATTTACTAATCTAGATCTTTGTCTTAAAGGCTACACTTGTTTTACTTAACTAGATCTGTCTTAAAGGCTGCACAATCTAAGTATCAAAAGCTACCATAATTATCTAGATCTATGTATCAAAAGCTATCCTTTTTTACTAGATCTATATAGATAAAGCTAACCTCATTTTCTGCTCTAGATCTATGTAGCAAAAGCTACCCTAATGTATTAATCTAGATCTATGTAGCAAAAGCTACCCTTATGTAGTAATCTAGATTTATGTAGCAAAAGCTACCATATGTATTAATCTAGATCTATGTAGCAAAAGCTACCATATATATTGTATTAATCTAGATTTATGTAGCAAAAGCTACCCTTATGTATTAATCTAGATTTATGTAGCAAAAGCTACCCTTATTTACTACCCTAGATCTCTGTCGATGTAGCGACCGTCTCACCTGTCCGTGGCGTCCACAGGTGTGCCCGACCCCCCGGGCCCGCACCAGCAGCCGTAGCTGATGTAGTCGAACGTTGACCTGCCTGTGACGGTAGACAGGATGACCTCCAGGTCCAGCAGACTTCTGCCAGACCGCGACTTCCGTCCGTCTGTCGATGGGGCTGGAACACAGGTGACAAAAATAAACATTGGAACACGTGACAAAAATAAACATTGGAACACGTGACAAAAATAAACATTGGAACACGTGACAAAAATAAACATTGGAACACGTGCCAAAAATAAACATTGGAACACGTGACAAAAATAAACATTGGAACACGTGACAAAAATAAACATTGGAACACGTGACAAAAATAAACATTGGAACACGTGACAAAAATAAACATTGGAACACAGGTGACAAAAATAAACATTGGAACACGTGACGGAATGTACATAGATGGGTACCTGACTCACGTTTGGGAAAGTAAAGGCGGCTGGGCATAGTGCTGATCACACCTATCCCTTCAAATGCGGAGTCACTAAAACAGATAAACTCTACTTCACCTACCATTTGGACACAATGGTTCGAAAGGCTACTGAACAGTGACCATTCTCTAATCCATACAACTTCTATTTCTTTATATCGTTATTTAAACACTTAAGTGGTTGATGGATAATATCTGAGTTTGAGAAAATACCTTGCAAAGAACTTGGTTACACATCTTATTAAGTAAAAATATTGCTACTCCGGAATGTTGTATATATTATAATAATTATATACTTATAAGTAAAGAGCAAAATGTACGTCTTGATATAAAAAAAAATTCTATATTTTTTATTAAATTGCTTTTATATATTTTGAAGAAAGTTATATATAAGAATAAAACTAAAATACAAAATTATAGATCGTATATTAACATTACATTTCCTTTGTACTTTTTTAATTTCATTTTTCAAACAAAGCGACCCTTGACTCAGGAATCTCCGGCTGTTGACCTACATATCGTCGACTGCTGTTAACTATTCTTACCCAGACAGCACAGTGCGAGTAGGACACACATCCGGTACACGTCGGTCGCCATTGGTTGAGTGTCACTCACACACCTGGCGAACTGGTGAATGTGGGGAAAAAATACAACACCGGCATAAACATGGACCCGTCAATAAAAATGTGTTAATTTGTTGCTAGTATTGTAAAGGTATAATGGTTAATGATTACAGGTAAGGTGGAGGGATGGACAATGGGTAGTATTTATGTAGGACAACGGGTTTTGGGGTCGTACATAAATGACGTCACACACGTAGGAGGGATGTCCGTATTTTTTGTGACGTTGTTTGATGAGGGGGAGGGGGGGATGTTCAGATGGTGTGACGTCACACTTTTGCACTTAAAAAAGCAAAGTTAGAAAATCTGAACCTCCCCCCCCCCTCTCATCACACAAAATTACGGCCTCCCCCCATGCCACCTACGATTGTGACGGCATTTATGGATGACCCCTAACTACCACTAATCTAACACCTAGTTTTTATACATAGTTGATTATTGCATCAAAACGAGGACTCTGGTTTAAAAGAAAACAGGTTCAATTTTTTTTTTAATAATTACTAAACTAAAACTTTACCTCGTTTTGCACTGCTATTTCTTGAGGCTAGCGATGCTGAAATCAGGATTCGATAAATGCAATACAACCCACACAACTATTTTCACTCCAGTTTGTCAACACACACACAAACACATTGAAACCCATTCACACATACACACGTCAACACAGTAGTTGAATACAGCTCACAAAATTTGATTGATGTGTTAGAAAACAAAAATGCCATTAGTATCCGTGTGTTAGTTGGACTAGGTGCTAATGTATAAATACATACTCAGTAGAAATAGGGGTTGTGTTTGTCAGAGGCGTAGCGAGGGCGGGGCGGGGGTGCGGATTGCACCGGGTGACACCATTTAGGGGGGGGGGGGTGGCACCATGGCTAAACATTGCAAAATGTACAGTAGAAAATTGATTTTTGCCAGTTCCATTAACGATTAATTAAAGTTAAATAGTCTTTTAAGTACAAATCGACAATTATTTCAAGAGGGTGGGGGTGACAGCATGATGTAAACGTACTAACTATAGAGAAAACAATGCTAAATCCAACTGTATTATTAACAAACTATAAATTACCATCGTTACTATTAAGTCTGCAGTGATTAAAGCTTATACACATACATGTAGATATTTTGATTTGGCCAACATAGCGGCCGAAGATATTTTGATTTGGCCAACATAGCGGCCAAAGATATTTTTATTTAGGTACATAGCGGCCGAAGAAAGTTTTTTTAAAAAGTAAAAAAAAGTATTTTTTAATCAAGCGTGCAGATAAAGTCTTTTGCCGATTACAATGTTACAAGCTACTGAAGGAGCTTTAAGAAATATCCGAAAGAAACGCTGAAGCTGAACAAATACTATCACTTTGAGGGTGATGGTGTTGTATAGGCCTACTCTTAACAGACACGATGATTATTATTTTTAAGGGGCGCTACTCTAATAATACGTATAATTCGAGAATAAACAACGTTAATCCCCCTATATGTTTCCTCTACAGGTTGCACTTGATTCAGTACACTCAAGGCTATGCCAAACCACGAAGGTGTATTGTAGACACGGGATTGGGTCTGAGATGGCCCGAGGGTGATTAGTAAATGCAGTAAAACAGGTCGATGATCAGGGTGCGTGTGTGTGGAGGGGAGGGGGGGGGGGAATGGGGGAGGGAGGGGGAGGACGAGTCGATGTAGAAAGATTGTGTGTGATTCTTATAAAGCACGGGTGCATAAATTTAATGTATACATAGCGGTTGGTAGACACGTTTAAAAGAGATCTACGTAGTAAGTGATAAAACTGTTAGTTCTCAGTTTAGCGGATATCGACAATGGAAAATGGTGTGTTATTGTGTTGGACGTCGTGGCCGGGTGCTAGAGCGCTCGATTACTTACTCATTCCGGGTTCAAAGCAGTTCAAATCCACCCGGCTCCGATGGGTACCTAACTCTCGTTAGACAAATAAAGGCGGATGGGAATTAAAAGAGATGAAGTATACGTATTCTGCCCCATCGGTCTTGGGCAAAACGGGACACGAAGAAGAAGATAATTTTCAAATATATTTAATTTAAAATGCAATACAATAATAATTATTTAAAATTTAACAATACTCAATAGTATGCCTAAATATAAATGAATCATTTCTCATGCGATGAACAATATTCCTCTTTTAACACAAACTTTCAGAATTTTTTTTTGCAATCAATAGATAAGAAACAGAAAAGCACATGTTACTTCCACATAACTATACATGAACCAACATTCCAATGTACAAACGCATAAACATATATTGTATTCAAATTTATTTTTTTAAACTCACTTGGTTTAACTTGCCTAGGTAGATACATACGCACACATTTATACACATGGCAAATATACACACACAGATTGTAAACATCCACTGACACACGTACACACTGTTGTTCACGCTGCTGGGCATAGCGTCTGGTTGTAAACATCCACATCTACATACACATGTAAACATCCACTGAAACACGTACACACTGTTGGTCACGCTGCTGTGCATAGCGTCTGGTTGTAAACATCCACATATACATACACATGTAAACATCCACTGACACACGTACACACTGTTGGTCACGCTGCTGGGCATAGCGTCTGGTTGTAAACATCCACATATACATACACATGTAAACATCCACTGACACACGTACACACTATTTGTCACGCTGATGTGCATAGCGTCTGGTTGTAAACATCCACATCTACATACACATGTAAACATCCACATATACATACACATGTAAACATCCACTGACACACGTACACACTGTTGGTCACGCTGCTGTGCATAGCGTCTGGTTGTAGTTGTAGTTGCTGACGTTGTAGGACTGTCTGCCCAGGCACTGGGAGAGTTCAAGGTCACACTGGCATCGACTCATCTGACAGTCGTCGTTTAAATCTGGAACCAGCAGACGATAGAACCTTACAAGCAGACGATAAAATATTTACCGGCAGACAGTAGAACTTTACAAGCAGACGATAAAATATTTACCGGCAGACGATAGAACTTTAAAACATACGATAAAATATTTACCGGCAGACATAACTTTACACGCAGACGGTAAAATATTCACCGGAAAACGACAGAACTTTACAAGCAGACGATAAAATATTTACCGGTAGACTATTAAACTTTACAAGCGGACGATAAATTATTTAACGGCAGACGACAGAACTTTACACGCAGACGATAAAATATTTACCGGTAGACTATAGAACTTTACAAGCGGACGATAAAATATTTAACGGCAGACGATAGAACTTTACAAGCAGACGAGAATATGAATGCAGGCAGACGTAAACATTCTTACAAACAGATAAGATAATATTTAAAAGCATTCGATAACATATTTTCAAACATACGAGAACATATTTTAAAAGCTCACAAGATTATATTTACAAGCACACAAATAATATTTAAAAGCAGAAGATACAATATCTACAAAACGAGAAGAAAATATTTACAAACATATAAGAAAGTAGAGTTTCTTTCAGACATCTCTTTGCCCCCCGAAAAAAAGTCTACCGCTCCCATGAAAGAAATAGAATGTATATACCATTGTCCGCTCCCCTGCAAAAGTCTGAAAGAAACACTGTAATGAAGGTATTTTTAATTTATTCGTAACATCACAATTTTAACAAGCCTTTAAGAGGTTTTCGCTTCGTATTCCAAATTTTACGAAGTCAATAATTTGTTTCTATGAAGGAAATTAACCTTGACTCTAGTACAGGTGATGACCGCCTACTTACCTGTACAATGACAGGTGGTGCCATTACACTGGTACTGGTACCAGCTGAGGTAGTACCACCAGGAGTTGTAGCAGGAGGACTGGCCGAAGCAGACGTCGTGAATCTGGCAGCACCTGCAGGATTCAGGCATCGGGGGTTAGGAAAAAATAGCACGTGTTCAAGTATTTATAAAAATTGTCATTATGATACACATACACACACATACACACAAATACACACAAATACAAACAAATTCTCACTCACGTTACGCTTGAAGATATGAAGGCTACACTTGCTTAGGGTTTTACATACAAACCCCATCCCACACACAACACAGGCTAAACATAAGCACACGCTTACAACACACCTACTCTCAAGCACACATAAACCAAACACACACCAACATACATTACTTAAACACACAAATGCACATTCTGTCAAATACACTTCAAACACTTTCGCCTTACTCCACTGGTCTCCTTTAATTACAAACTTAATATCGCTACAAGCAATCCACCAATCCACTCACACTTACGTCTCTTACTCCACCAATGCCCTCTGATAACCAACCTAATGTCGCAACTACTGATCTACCCACGTGACCCAATCACCTTCAATACTAAGCAACAACTTTTTTTCAACAATCCACCCATCCACCTTGTCCACCACACCAACCAATCCACCGACACAACTAGCAAACAACTCTTCCACCAGCAATCCACCCAGCTATTCTTCCACCAAGACTCCACCAAGCCATTGTTCAACCAGCAATCCACCCAACTATTCCATCAACAATCCACCAACAACTCTTCCACCAAATATCTCACTATCCACCCACCCATCCATTTCATCCACCACACCAAAAAACCCACCCACACAACTATTCAGCCATTCCTCCACCATCAATCCACCCATCCACCTACGGATCCACCTCATCCACCACACCAAAAAACCCACCCTCACAACTAACCAGCCATTCCTCCACCAACAATCCACCCATCCACCTACCGATCCACCTCATCCACCGGCTCGCCCCCAGAGTTCCCATGCCCACAGTAGCAGCCGTAGTCCAAGTACTCCACACACCATCTGCCTGTCATCCTCTGTATCAGCTGACACAAGTACATCCGGCTCCTCTTGTGGCGACTCCCGGGGACAGGGGACACAACTCCGACTGAGAAAGGTAACTCTCCAGAAATGTACAAAATTAGCCAATAAGTTTTTTTTTTAAATAATTTTAAGGACTAATGTGATGCAAATAAAAACGCATTTGCTCGAATCCGACTGAATAAAAAATAACTTGACAGTCTATGTTTATTGAAAATCGCAGTTTGATACATAATAGTCGCAGTTCAGATTTATCAAAATTAATCCACACCTTTTAGAGTTAGGGGTTTAATATGCTACAAATGAAAACACATGCCAGAGGCGTAGTGATGGGGGGAGGAAGGTGGGACATATGTCCCCGGGCGCCGACCTTAGCAGGCGCCAAAATGGGTTGGAAAAAGTAATCGAAAGTTTGAGGGGGGGGGGTATGCAAAATCAAAATTTGAGGTGGGTGCAGATCGAAAGTCTGTCCCCGAGCGCCGGGAAGGGTCGCTACGCCTCTGACACACAACTCCGTCTAGAAGTTTATTCTTTACGTTTCTATCCTGGGTAGACAACTATCATGAATATTTCTATTTTGGGAGGGGTGGGCGATTGAGACAGAATAGAGTTTTTGAAGTTGTTACAAGTATGAGCTAGATGCAATAGCTTGTATACTCTGTATTTATAGCGACCACCTGCAAACAGACTGCGAGTTGACAACTGCTTCTCTAACCAGCATAAAATCATTTCGTTAACCCCCACTCAAAGCCTAGAATCAGCTGCGCAGGGCGTGACCCAACTCTAGCGGTTTTTCGATTATTATGATTTAGTTTTATCTACAATTCTAGTTTTTGAACATAGACCTAAAGGGTGGCTTGAGAGACACGAACAATCACACCCCTACCCCGAAAAAAATCTGTAATAGTTAACAATTTGACCCATCATCATATCGTGTATGATAATCCAAAATAAGATGTTCTGTACACAATTTTTCTTCATGAGTACAGCTGTATGAATGGGACGGAGTGGTCTAGCGGTAGAGAGCTGGACTGCTAACCCGTAACTCTCGAGTTCGAATCCGGGTTCAAGTCAGTAGATCGTCCCTGAGTCCACCCAACTCTGATGGGTACCTAACTCACATTAGGGAAAGTAAATGCGGCTTGGCATAGTGCTGACAACACTATCCCTTCATATGCAGAGGTCACAGAAACAAGTGAACTCTACTTCACTTGCCCTATAGACAGGTGTATGCTGATACCGGGAGGTGCATTAATACTTACCCCCCCCCCCACCCCGGGAGATACATGGATACTTAACCCTCTCTTCTCCAGAAACCCTCATCTCCAACCCCTCGAGGTCTTATATACACCATTACAAAAACAAAAAACTAGACCTGCTAATGCCTCTTCAGTTTAAAAGCTCAAAAAATAAGATGTGTCCGACATACTCACCCAAGATGCAAACGGTGATAACAGACGCCCATCTGAGCTCAAACATTCTCAAAACGTTATTTTTTCAAATGTCGTACACGTCAAGCTGGTGTATGAGCACTTTAGGCTCTGATCTGACAAGACAACTGGAGTCTGCCTCAACTCTGCTGTTCTGCGTCGCCCACAACCTTTTAAAAGGAACCAAGGCTGCTGAAGGTCAAGGGTAAATTCTCAACTTCCCCTTCCACAAAGCCAACCCACATTTGAATTCTGGGAATCGACTCATTAGAATATTTTTGTCCGATTATGAACACTTACGTAAATGGAAATTTGATTTGTATTTTAGTTCCTAAATAATTTTTTTTAGCTCTGAAAAAAAAACTCTACGTCACCTACCTAAAGTGTTACAATATTGAACGCAACTCTAATATCCACATTTTTTCCTCCAGCTCTAAAAGAAAATATATAAAATCTGTTTTAAGTGACATTGTAATTACCACACGTGGCCAATAAGGATCACTTTCAATACTATCAAGAAACACAAAGAACTTTACAAAGATCGATCATTTTCCAGCGCTTTACAATCATTTACAAGGTGATTCCTGTCTTCACACGCTCTATAAGTCTTGTATCATATATTATTATAGTATCACTGTACGTCACCACTGCGTATGTATATGCCGCCAACCAAGGTCTCCACAGTCCTTTGTCCTGTGTCCTGCTGGGGTAGTGGCGCCATTCAAAGATCTACACAGTCCTGTGTCCTACTGGGGTAGGGGCGCCATTCAACGATCTCCACAGTCCTGTGTCCTGCTGGGGTAGGGGCGCCATTTAAAGATCTCCACAGTCCTGTGTCCTGCTGGGGTAGGGGCGCCAACCAAAGATCTCCACAGTCCTGTGTCCTACTGGGGTAGGGGCGCCAAACAAATATCTACACAGTCATGTGTCCTGCTGGGGTAGGGGCGCCAACCCACGATCTCCACAGTCCTGTGTCCTGCTGGGGTAGGGGCGCCAACCAAAGATCTACACAGTCCTGTGTCCTGCTGGGGTAGGGGCGCCAACCAAAGATCTACACAGTCCTGTGTCCTGCTGGGGTAGGGGCGCCAACCAAAGATCTACACAGTCCTTTGTCCTGTTGGATACTGGGGTAGGGGCGCCAACCAAAGATCTACACAGTCCTTTGTCCTGTTGGATACTGGGGTAGGGGCGCCAACCAAAGATCTACACAGTCCTTTGTCCTGTTGGATACTGGGGTAGGGGCGCCAACCAAAGATCTACACAGTCCTTTGTCATGTTGGATACTGGGGTAGGGGCGCCAACCAAAGATCTCCACAGTCATGTGTCCTGCTGGGGTAGGGGCTCCAACCAACGATCTCCACAGTCCTTTGTCCTGTTGGATACTGGGGTAGGGGCGCCAACCCACGATCTCCACAGTCCTGTGTCCTGCTGGGGTAGGGGCGCCAACCAAAGATCTACACAGTCCTGTGTCCTGCTGGGGTAGGGGCGCCAACCAAAGATCTCCACAGTCCTGTGTCCTGCTGGGGTAGGGGCGCCAACCCACGATCTCCACAGTCCTGTGTCCTACTGGGGTAGGGGCGCCAACCAAATTTTTCACACTGTCCTGTACCCTGTACCATCTTTATAATTTTGCTCCAGGTGTAACAAATCTGTAGTTTCTGCTTGAAAGATCACGTCGTCAGATTTTTTATTACTCGGCCTCTTTTGCGCTTTTGTTAATACAACTCTTTCCAACACGACCTCAGTTACGGTCCATTTTGTGTGGTAAGCAATTTTGAAGTTGAACCTTCATGCTTACAAAGTTGAAGTGATGTGCATGAATTCATATATATATATATATATATATATATATATATATATATATATATATATATATATATATATATATATATATATCAACACACTTTGGCTATTCATATTTTTACTAGGAATAGAATTCGGTCAAATGTCTTGTGTATTAAAGTGTACACCATGTCGATATGGGGATAGTAGCCGTAGTAAAAATAAAATAAGTATTTTAACAATGTGGTATAATGGAGCGCACGCCCACGATTGCACTTCTATCAAGAAAAATTACAGCTTATTTTTTATCTCAGGCCACGTTCTTCCATCGTATTTTCTTTTCTTGCTTAAGGGGTCGTAATTTTTTTTTTACTTTCTCATATACGAAGTATAGAGGAAGTATTGTAATCGGGCAGAAAATCGAAATCGAGATTTTCACAACTCTTGACGTTTTCGATAGAAATGAATACTTCAAATAGTAAAAAGTGCTATTAATCCGACGTCGGGTGAGGGGAATGGGTCATTTTAGCATAGAAAAATGTACGGACGACCCCCTCGGGATATTTTTCATGTTCCCATATTTAAAAAAAAATATTTTACTGTACTTATTATCGTGTATAACATATTGCTTTGTTTACAATTAAACATTGAATAGCTCGTCGATGTCAAATGTTGATTCTATGTGGGGATGGAAGTGTGTGTGTGTGTGGGGGGGGGGGGGGCGGGTTGTACTGCCCCGGGACTAGGTTTTTAAAACAAAATATGTATTTAACACGTGACCGCCCATTTGTGGTCTCTGTACTTTTATTATTTCTTGGAATGTACCGTTGTTTGAGATTTATTCATAAACCATATTTCTACGAATCCACACTCGTGTTTTCACGACTTGACACCATTAGCCTAACTTCACGTTTAATGTTTTGTTATTCTACTCAATTTTGTCGCTTTTCAATTGTGAATTTGATCCAATTGTCCAGTTTTTCTAGGAAATTTGGCTTGACAATTAAGCGGTTGATTTACCATCGCAAAAGTGGTTTGTTTTGATTTATTTCCATGCTCGAATTCATCAAAATGCGGTTGCTAGTTTAAAGTATATATTCTCAAAAAACGGATTTACTAGTTATATAAAACAAGTGCTAATGACGTCAACAATGAATTATTTGTTTCGATTTAGCTAATGAATTCTTGAAGTTTTTACATGATGCGTTGTTTCTCCCGTATAAAATAAATGAGAAATTATTTTTTTTGGTCTCTTAAACTAGTTCTAGCTTTCAAAGTAGAACGGCGCATACTGCTACTAAATTTACAATGCTACATTAGTTAGTTTTCGTTTTGTTGTATTGATTCGTTTCCGTTTTCACAAGCCAAACGCCATTTAAGTTCAGCTTAAAATATTTTGTTTCATTTCCGTATTTTATCATTTTTTAATTGTACTTTTACCATGTGAATCATTTTAAAAACAAAGTATTAACCTTGACCTTGATGTAGATTGGGTCAAGTGTGTAGTACGTCGCCGTTTATTTTTTGTCGAAGTATTGAGAGTGTCATGATGACCTAACATTTAAAATTATGTCACTTCCGGGCCACCAGCCATAGAAATATTTTAGGTTTTGTTGTTTTCAGATAGGATCTGGTTACGATATGTGTAATCGTCGTAATATATACATAGCTCATATAGCTTGGGTGATAATAATTGTCTATAGCTAGATTGTCATAATTGTCATAATCAATAGCGAGATCGTTTACACTACGTAGTTGCCATTATCAATAGTTAGATCATCTAATATAGCCCGTTAAGCTACATTAACCACCGTATAGCCGGTTAAACAACATTAACCAATATATATCCGGTTAAGCCCCATTAAACACCATATGACCAGTTAAGCTTCATTAAACACCATATAGCCGGTTAAACTATAATAAACCACCATATAGCTGGTTAAGCCCCATTAACCATCATATAACCAGTTAAGGTCCTTTAACCACCATATAGCCGGTTAGGCTACATTAACCACCATATAACCAGTTAAGCCATAATAAGCCACCGTATAGCCGGTTAAACCACATTAACCACCGTATAGCCGGTTACGCCCTATAAACCATCTAGAGCTCATGTTATCACGTGACTGTAGCCAGACCGATGGTCATTGTTCTAAAAATAGATGCACTATTGTATTCACTTCCCCTTTACAGTGACTTGTAATTAAATGATAAAAGTGCATCTGATATGTTTCAATACACAAAAATTGAAATAACACTTCAGATGTTTTAACTCGAATTGAAAGTTACTGTTACTATTACTATTATTATTGTTATTTTTGTTACGTTAATTATATTATTATTACTAGTATTGATAATGGTAGTAGAAGAAGTATTATTATTTGTATTATGTGTATTATTTTATTATTATTATTATTATTATTATTACTATTATTATTATTATTATTATTATTATTATTATTATTATTATTATTATTATTATTGCTATTATTATTATTGTTATTATTATTATTATTATGCTGTATTGCAGGTACATTTTGGTAGCGAACTACGAGACTATAACTAGCCATTATAAAAAGTGCGTATAAGGATTCTACACGGAGTCTGTAAAAAGTCCACACAGAGTCTACGTAGAGTCTACACGGAGTCTATGAGAGTATACACGGAATCTCTTTGGAGTCTACACGGTGTCTATATGGAGTCTATACAGAGTCTATGAGAAGTCTACACGGAATCTTATACAAATTTTAAAACGTTTGACTACGCCTTCCTTTTACTTTAGTATCATCATGAATACGAACATCGTTGGTTATTAAACAATAATTGATAACCTTAGACTGGCTGAAGTAACAAACAAAGAAACCAATACAAACACAGGTCAAGTTTAAGGTTTAGTTTTAATGTTTTGTTCCTTACATTTCTTCTTGTCATACTTGGCGTATTTGTTGTCGTAGGTGTGGAGGGTCAGGCATTGGGCAAACTCCAGGTCACACTGACATGTCTTGTACCTGCATGGGTGCTTGGACTGGGAATCTGGACAGACAGGTGTGGTAAGTATTTTTGGTAAAAGTACATATTTGTGCAAATCTAGACAGAGGTGTGGTCAGTTTTTGTGGCCAAACTACATATTTGTGTAAATCTGGACAGACAGGTGTGGTCAGTATTTTTGGTAAAAGTACATATTTGTGCAAATCTAGACAGAGGTGTGGTCAGTTTTTGTGGCCAAACTACATATTTGTGTAAATCTGGACAGACAGGTGTGGTCAGTATTTGTGGTTAAACTACATATGTGTGCAAGTATGGACAGAGAGGTGTGGTCAGTATTTGAGGTCAAACTACATATGTGTGCAAATCTGGACATAGAGGTCTGGTCAGTATTTTTGGTCACACTACATATTTGTGTAAATCTGGACATAGAGGTGTGGTCAGTATTTGTGGTCAAACTACTTGTTTGTGTAAATCTGGACATAGAGGTGTGGTCAGTATTTGAGGTTAAACTACATATTTGTGTAAATCTAGACAGAGAGATGTGGTCAGTATTTGAGGTCTAACTACATATTTGTGTCACTGTTTCATCTATATACTACTAAAAGTCAAGTTTGTTTACATGTTTGAATATTTATTTGTTTGCCTGATCGAAAATTGTGATATGTTCGACTCTATCTGGAAAGCTGTAAAATGGTATGCAGGTAGAGAATAATTTTTTAATGCAGACAGACTGTTGATCACAAATTTATTTAAAGACGTTAATTAATTAATTGATTTATTCATATGCAGATTAACCCATTTTTTTTAAAAATATTTGAAAAGCCACTAGACTCGGCGGGACCGTGACGTCACAGGTTTTTGTTTACTCTTTAGTACAATAAAATGGCGGCGTCTATCGAAGAAAATTGTGTTCCCATTCACAAGTTTAACGCGTTCTAAATCTAATTTTCTGTCGGTCATAACTTTAACAATACGTCCGTTTTCTGTATTTATTACGTTCCAACACTTATATCAATGTTCAACTGTCTTTTTCATTTAGTTTTACAATAAATTTCTCTAGATCTAAAGATCAGCTATCGAAGGAAATTTATGAATCTAGCCTAGATCTAGATCTAGCCTAGATGTAGGTCACTAGGTTTCTATGTAAATTCTAGATCTAGACTTAATGTAAATTCTACATCTAGAATCTATTTCAGGCCTTAATTATTTTATATAAATCTTTGTTTGGCTTATTTAAGATAAAATTTAATTTGAAAGTTAGTACTACTAGACTTATTTTTAGATCTAGATCTAGAATCTATACGCCGTAAATCAAGTTGCATAAGGAGATACATAGTATAGTATAAAAATTCACTTGTGACGTCACGAGTAAATAGCTAAAATGGTAGCGTAGTCATCTCTCATGCAGGAGGCACGGGTTCTAGACCAATATGTCAATGAAATTTTTTTTTTCAATTTTTTTTTTAGATGTGAATGATAACGTTGCCTATCTGAACTTGGCAAGATACAGGGCAGGTGAAGTAGAGTTTATCTGTTTCTTTGTCCTAAGCATATGAAAGGATAGTGTGGTCAGATACATGCTCGGCTGGAATTGTTTTTTAAACGATAAAAACATGTTGTCTGAGACTTGGCAGGACACTGGGCAGGTGAAGTAGAGTTGAGTAGGTCACCTGTGACGTCAGTTTATGAAGGGATAGTCCGAAATCGGTGTTTTCGGTGTTTTTAAAAGATAAAAAACATATATTTGAATGTGGGGTCTGTTTTTTGTGACGATAAGTGACACTGCAGTAGCGTACCGAGGAGGGGGGGGACGGTAGGGGAGGGGAGGCGGGGGGGGGGAAGGGGAGGCGGGGGGTGGGGAGGTGGAGGGGGGAAGGGGGGGGGGCGGGGGGGGGGGACATATGTTGGGGCGCCAAAATGGTTTGGAAAAATAAATTGATAGGTTGAGGGGGGTTCAAATCGAAAGTTTGAGTGGGGGGGGGTGCACATCAAAAGTTTGAGGGGGGGGGGGGTTCAAATAGAAAACTTTGTCCCCGGGCGCCGGGAAGGGTCGCTATGCCTCTGAGTGACAGACGTGATGTTTTTTGATGGATGACCCCCGAAACCCACAGTTATCCAACGGATGACGGGTATTCTAGTTTGTACTAAAATCGCAAAACCATTGATCAGAATTTCTTAGACAAAATAGGTTATTCGTTTTTTACTTTTTCGTATATGAAGGATAGAGGAAGTATTGTAATCGAGCGAAAAAAATCAAGATTTTCACAGATCTCGACGTTTTACACCTCCCTGAGTCGGAAAAACATAGTTTTGCAATTTTGTCCGTATGTCTGTGTGTGAGTATGTATGGGTGTCTTCACCATAACTTGAGTACCGTTACAGCTAGGTTTGTGAAATTTCATTTATAAGTATTATAAGAAATTTGTAGTTCTTTGTTAACTTTGCAGCGATTTTCGATAAGCGGAGTTGGAACTTTTTTTACTTTCAATTATTCAAAAACTTATCACTTGAGTACTGTTTCAGATAGATAAATGAAATTTGACATGTAATTTCAAGACGTAATTATATGCCTTCTGTCAAATTTTGAGTAATTTCCGTTTACCGGAAGTAGTAAGTTACGCTAATTATAATTTCTCAAAAAAAAACGCATGTGAATTTATAAAGTACTAATTAGGTGCTCATAATATTCCCAACTATTATACACATATTGTTTGGCGTTCACTTTTTCTTTGAGATTCTATTATATTCTAAAACGTTTGAGTAATTAAAAATGGATTTATAATATTGTCAATATCCCGAGTTGCCACCCCCCCCCCCCCCTGTAGTGTTATATAATAATATTCGAGAAAGTTTAGGGGAGATCACTCCCGGTTAATTTATTCCGTTTTTTTTTGTGTCTCATTGATTATATATGGAAAGGAAAACTTTTGGATTATCTTTTCGTCAACTATTTAGTTACCTATTTAGGTCAAGTTTAATTATTTTTGTTATCAACATTTTGCTATTTTTATTTTTAATAATTGAAGTCAACTTTGATTATTTTTATATTTAATCTTTAAAGTCAAGTTCAATTTTTTTTTTATAATTAATAATAAAATTGAAGTCAACTTTAATTATTAAAAAAGTCGATCGTTTAGGTCAACATCAAATATTTATATAGTCAGTAATAAACGTCAATGAAAATTACTAAATATAACTATTTAGGTCAACTTTAATTATTTTTAAAGTTAATAGTTAACTATTTAGGTCAACGTTAATTATTGTTTTATTAAATTAATTAGGTCAAACTTAACTGTTGTTATTGTTTACTATTTAAACGTTAATTATTGTTTAAGCAAATTAATTAGGTCAACCTTAAGTGTTGTATTTAGGTCGACTTTAAGTATTGCTGTAGTAAACTATTTTGGTCTACTTAAAGTCAACTAAAGTGTGCCATTTAGTTTATTCTTTAGTCAACGTTTTTAGTCATTAAAAACCTAAATACATTCATTCCAATAACCTTATACCACTATTTCACGTTAGTGTAGGTGTGTTGAACAATACGTTGGGAAACCTACATTTTGCAGTCAGCACCGCTCTCCTTTTACACAAGGGCTGTTGGCTACAGATCTCTATTGACAAAAATACTTGACTCTACTTCACCTATCATTTTTCTCAACAATAGGCTTTTCAAATATCAGATTATACTTCGTAAGCTGACTTTAAATGTGTGTTGCGTCATCTCCTTACACGGCATACAGGTAGAACACACACAAAAATGAAACTCGTCAAACTCACCTTCACACGTGCACCTAGTCCCGTTACAAGATTTTTTGTACGTCACCAGGTGGGGAGGGGAGAGCCACCCACACAATTTGCCGGCATCTGTGTAGCAGTTGTCGTGTGTCAAACAGCAACTGAAAACAGTTGGGTTTTTTTTTACAATATGAAAAATATTTTTTTTTTCAGTATGAGGTACATATACATATATATATATATATATATTTATATATATTTATATATATATATATATATATATATATATATATATATAAATATATATATATATATATATATATATATATATATATATATATATAGGACTACTGCCCTTGGCGGATGGGTCGAAGTCAGAGATCTACATCCTGACATCAAGAACCTACTTGTCAGTGTCGTCAACTGGGGTTGTGCCCACGCCCCCCAGCCCACAGAAACAGCCGTAGCCCATGTAGCCCAGACAGTTCCTGTTGGTGTACAGCTGTATGAGGCTGCACAGCTGGGCCACGTTACGTTTGCTCAGATGGTGGCTGGTGTGTGCGGGTGTCACCCCGTCGGCTGTTGGGTGAACATTGAACATTGAACACAAACATGTTACACACAATCTTAATAGTTCACGTTTAACATGAGCTCGTGTATCTACGTTGTGTTGAAATAATATAGAAAACATTGTTGGATTTTTTTTTTATTTGAGTAAACTAGAGAAAACTGTTACTTTTAACAAATATACCAAATTTGAAGAAACGTATTTAAGAAAATAAAGTTCGAATCCAGTAGAACGTACTTGAGCAGCTACCTAATTGATGTTTCGTAAAGTAAAGGCGGCCGGGCAAAGTGCTGACCACGACTTCCTTTTATATGCTGAGGTCAAGAAACATGCGAACTCTACTTCATCTACCCAATGGATCGCTAGGTCTAAATAGGATTTTTTAAATTTTTTTTACTTTAATCCTCGATGTTAATACCTGTGAAAAAATTATTATATTTTTGTCAGTTGTTTTGAATGTGTCAAGATTCTAATCCTCTCAAAACATCAATATTTCAAGTCTTGTCACCAAACTGACATACATTTGTCACTTACTTGAAACATTTTTTGGGTTTATTCCACGCATAGTATTTTCCTTACCTTCATAACTAATCAAATTCCACACCAACACAGTAACCAAACAGACAAACAACTGTCCAGCCATTATGTTTGGCCACAGACGACAGTGGTGAAGCCTAGGAGAAAAACAGATTGAACTATCCTTTACAACACCTTTAACCGCGCTATATGCGTGTGTATATAAAAGAAATCAGTCAACCGGAACTATCGTAACGAATCAAATGAAGCAATTATTTATATCCTCTCGAACCAAATTAGCTTAGCACGTGATACGTTTAAGTGTAGCCTTGGCTACACAAAAAGGAATTTGTCATTCTGGGCGTAGCGAAATTTAAAAAAAAAAATAGTTTACAAATATTTTTTTTTATCTACGATTTCTTTACAGGGTTCATCTTTTCCAATTCGTGTCCATGACACATCGGGGCAGATGAAGTAGAGTTCATCTGTTTCAGATACTTTGGCTTATGAAGGTATAGTGTGGTCAGCAACCAGTCGCCTGTTTCACTAAAGGGAGTTAGGTACTCATTAGAGCTGGGTGGACATTCTACTGACTTGTACCTGTATTCGAACGAGACTTTCCGGTTAGCAGTCTAAGCTGTCTACCGCTAGGCCACACCGTCACACAGCTTGTGTAAATCTCTGAACTGTTCTGTTACTATTTTAGTAAAGGTGAATCTAGGTGTGTAAATTTAAAATTGAGTCACAGGTGAAAGCGATTTTAATAAATAAATCAAGCCTTGTTAAGAAGAAATAAAATACTTTAAAAAAACTTTTTAAAAAACCACGTTTTTCTTGTGGACTAAAAAGTAGAAAATAAATTTTCATACATTTGATGACAAAAAACGTGGGTACGTTCACCATCAAATTTCCCGACCCATCTGCCCGACCCACGTTTTTTGTCATCAAATGTATGAAAATGTATTTTCTACTTTTTAGTCCACAAGAAAAACGTGGTTTTTTAAAAAGTTTTTTTTAAGTATTTTATTTTCTCCTTTTTAGTCCGTTGCTGCACATGAAAAACGTGGTTTTTAAAAAAAAATTTTATATAGTTTATTTTCTACTTTATCTAATGACTTGATTAAGTATGACTTGACTAAGTGTTTATAAATACACGGACTAAAAATCTTGAGCGACCGATACGCTTTAAACAGAGAAAGGGCGTACTTTAATTAAGCCTACAAGCCGTGACCAGGATTCGAACCTTGGTTGTCGCGGCCACAATGCGAAGTACTAACCACTATACGATCACGGCCAGCGCGCATACATCGATTGGGGCCGAAGTAACTGTGTCAATAGGCCTCCAGTCTTGTCGGTATGTTTAGAAATCATGTCCTCGATTTTATGGTCCTTGGGGCGTAATTTAATTAAGCTAATTTAGGTCTCTAATTGCTAGTTTTTATGATTGCATCTGAAATTGTTAGGCGAAAATAGCCTGCATGCCAAATTTCAGATCTCTAGAGCAATCAGAAGTGGGTTAATTTTCGATGTCAATTTTAACAACAAACATCCAAACAAACAAACAAATAAACGCGAAGCTGAGTTAAGAAAAACGTGTTAAAAATGAGTCTGCCAATACTTTTCATACATAAACAGTGAAAATAGACCTTAAGACACCTACAGACACCCTTAGACACCTTAAGGCACCTACAAAGGCAGCGGGTGCCGTACCTGTATGGAACCTAACGACGGAACGCCCTTGTAAAAGTCACCAATTTAGCTACAAAAGTAGACATTTAAGTTAAATCTACAACAAATTTTGAGCAAAACAATCCTACTCTTCTAATCAGCAATATGCGTTGAGGGAACATTTTGTTTTTCTTGAACGTTCAAATGCAGCGTTATTTAAATATGCCACAAGTTTTAAAACGCAAGCCTTAAATTAACAAAAAAGAGCAACACTATTTTTAATGCGTATATTTACATTACATACTTACATCATACCGTGCATAAACCTGCTACGGCTGTGTTTTGCCGTCAGCCGTTTGTTTTATGCGTTTCTGATATCTCACAATCTCTTACGTCGTAAAGTTTAAACCTCTTTCAAGGTCTAAATGCCTAAAGGGCAGAAATTAGCATAATGATCCTAGTTGTCACATTAGCCTTATGGTAACGTGTGAAATTGTGGTTAGTGTGTGCAGTTAGTGTGTATGGTTATTGTATGGATGTCATTTTTTTCAGGCACGTTATTTAAGTTGGTAATCTGTCAAGGAGACGTCTAGAAAGTATGTTACACGGTGGGAGACGTGTGATAGGGGGTGGAGTGAGGCTGCAGTGATCTGACTTTGGTATTAGTGTGCTATATCATGCAGGGGTGTCATCTTTGCTGTTGGAGGTGGGAATGAATTAGTTATAATCGGATTTTTTTCGGACATTAGAAGGCAAGTTTTGGGAGAGGGTGGAGAGGAACGGCGTGGCCTAGCTGTAGAGTGCTAGACTACTAACCATAAAGTATTATGTTTGAATCAGAGTTCAAGTCAGTACAATGTCCATAAGTCCACCCAGCTCTGATGGGTACCTAACTGACGTTAGGGAACGTAAATTACGTTTAAAAAACGTGACGTCGTTTATTGATCACCATTATGCTTTCGTGTGTCCAGGTGTAATTATATGCGTGTGTATACGTGTTATTATGTGTATATGCATTTTTGTATGTGTGCGCGTGTGAGTTTATATGTTTGTTTTTCTATGTATAGCTATAGACCTTTGTTGTAAGATTGAGGATTCAGTGATCGGTGCGGGTATTTAGTAATGCTGTTATATATTTTTTAAGTTGTGCACTGCTGAATAAGAACACCTTTTCATAAGCATGCAACCTTATTCTACCTAACTTAGATCTGTTATCTTCGAAAATTTGTTTCATTTGTTGAAAGTGGAATGTTTATTTGGATCAGTAACGTACGTTAATGGATTATCAATATTATTTTTTACTATGTTTTTTTCAACACTAATCATCACCACCACCCCTCCTATTATCTCATTTCCTTCCAACTTTCTTTCTCTTATTTCTCCTACCACCCCATCCCATTTATCTTCGCAACTCTCCCCACACTCACTTAATTCCACGCCCACCCCAAACCCACTTTAAAAACATACATCCTCAATTGTATATGTGAAGCACCAATGTAATTATATAAAACACTTGGCCTTGACCTTTACATGGCCTTTAGCGTGAATCACTTTTGACCTTGGCTCTGTATGGCGTTAGCAATGTCCGACAATTTATTTTTAGAGCGTTGTTTAGCAACCAAATTCAAGTGTAACGCTTATGCTTCGCTCGCCTCTCCTTGTTACTTCAAAATATAACGCAATTCATTTCCGTCGTTAGACAATATAAAGCGGGGGTCACTTCGTGGACGTGAGGGGGTAGTTATGTAATTTAAATAGTTGTGCATTATTATATATTTAAAGAAAATCATTTATTTTGTCCTTTTTAGTGGATTATTACATAAAAACTTGTTGTTAAAACATTTTGATGCTATTTTGTTTTTCTTCAGTAAGCCTACTTTATAAATGTTAATACAATAGAGTTGCATGGCTCAAAACTATTGCGCTCCAAATCAACATTATAACGTGCGTATAATAGTGCGGAAAGTGTAGCACAAGACTGCCTACTAATTTTAGATTTTTTTTTCTATATTCATAAACAATTAATTAGACATCCAATCAAGTCAAATTTGATGTCAGATTGCATTGTCTGTAAGTCTTGACCCAAGTGCCAACTTTGAAATGAATCTGTCAGAAGTGTCTGAAGTTTCGCTCGCCCGTTTCGATTTGTGACGACAAATAGTGGGATTGGGGCTAATTTAAACAGACAAAGATGGGGAATTTGCGAATTTGTTTAAAACAGGTTTTTGTGTACTTTCTTTCTGGTCTCAGTTTTAAAAATTGAACGGCATTACCATATCCCCTATCCCACGTCTCTCTGTGTAACTTCCTTTCTAGATATCTCCTTGACCGCTAAGTGTTTATATCACAATATTAACCTGTACACAATGTGCCTGAGAAGTTTTTGAACAATTTTTTTTTTAATTAGATACGCCAGTACTTAGATGAACTATTCTTAAAAAAATATTTTTTAGCCCTACGACATAGTTGTAATGATCTGTTTTTAAAATATATTATGTTTTTTGTACTAAGCAAATAAAAACATTATTTTTTAAAATTATAATTTAAATTACTCATGCTAATGAAAATCACATGATTAGAAAAAAAATTTATTCAAAATTAATAACATAAATATACAAACATTGTGATAAAATAAACACAGAAAAACAATACAAACAGCAAGCTTTGGACCATCATATACCTTGGTCGGCAGGTCTAATTTGTCTAATGTTTCACAAAAGATGCCAGTTACAAAAATAATCTTATAAACTGAACTATTTTGAACCATAAATTAGTTTAGGCCATATTTTTTATGTTGACCTTAAAATGGAGAATTGACGTACTTTACAATTTTATACACACATGCACACACACACACACACACACACACACACACACACACACATATATATATATATATATATATATATATATATATATATATATATATATATATATATATATATATATATATATATATATATATATATATATATATATATATATATATATATATATATATATATATATATATATATATATATATATATATATATATATATATATATATATATGTATTATAGAAACCAACATATTAATAAAGTGTCACTCTTTTCTTCAAGTAGAAACTAACTTGTAACTGGCAATAATAGCCAATATTTACGTTTTTACAGATATTATTAGGCTACAATCATTTTGAGAATAAAAAAAAATTAAAAAATGAGGTTCACATTTTATAATTTAGACAGTTGGTGCAATGCAGACAGCAGCACAAGAAACAGCCCCAAAAGCGCAGAAAACGCCCCCAAAAGCCATTACGCATGCGCAAGCAACTGGAGAAACAGCCATGTGTTGGTAACAAAATTCCTTTGCTTTGTATTGTCCAGTGCAAGCCGGAATTAACGATTTAATGCATGGCCAGCAAGCAGCCGGGCCGGATTCCACTTTTGAAATCTGCATACAGAGGAGCATTGATATGATGAATACCGCTTTACTTTTCGCCATGGTGCGTTGAAAAATGTTGATAATGCCTGGAAAAAAATTAACAAACATTA